TGATGCTGCAGCATTCCTTCAATGATACAAGAACCAACATCTTTAGGATTCCAACAGACTGGAGACCAGTGGCTCTCCCTCTCCAGGAATCCTCCGGGCTTTCAGTGCCAGATTGAGACTGCAGAGACATCCAGCCTCATGAACTGAGCTTACCCACAAACCAAATAAACGAAACTTCATAAAGCCACAAGATAGTCAAACTGCAAAATCCAAAAATTAACACAACCGTCTTTAAAAGCCAAAACTCCATTGGGACATTAAGCAGAATTCAAATGATTGCAGAAAATAACAAGCAAACCAATATTAGAAATACTTTTGTACAACATTACAGAAGCAGAGATGATGAACAGTCCCGACTTAGTGACCTAACAAAAGAGGCTCAGAGTGAATGTATTTAGACTCAAGAGCTGAACACAAACTTGTACTCTTATTGGTAGATAGGGCCTCTTACAGCAATGTTAGCAATGCTGAAGCTACCATGAACTCCAGTAAATACACTGTAGGAACCTGGTGTAGTCTCCTCTGTAGTCCACACAAGTACAAGTGAGCAAACACAGCACACTGCAATGAACCTGTGGCTCTGGGTTACAGTGGGCAAAGTTAACTGATTCACTGACTATGTCATTATATCTGTGCAGAAAGTCAGACAGATTGCTAGATCTATCTTCAGCAAAGGGAAACAGGTTCTAGGGAAAATAGTTAATTCTAGGTCTGGGAAAGAAAATGTAAAATGAACCTTGAGTATTTCTCAGTGTCAGAAAGTAATGAGGTGGAGATGTAGCTCAGCTGATGGAATGCTTTCCTATTTCACTGCATACACAATGTCCTCAATTAGATTTCTAGCACAGCATAAAACCCCAATGGTAATTCATGCTCATAATCTCAGTACCCAGGAGATGGAGTTGGAAAACAACTCCCTGGGTAGGAACAAGAGAACATGTTCTGGAGTGAAGGGGTCTCTGTGACCACCATGGCCAGCAGAATAACAATTGGTGGGAGGCAAAGTAATTCAGTTCGGCATGACTCAGAAGTGGTGTTGGTTCAAACTTTAGGACTCTGACCCCAAGTAGTTTTTTTTAGGCACATTTAAGCATAGCACAATTTGGTGAAAACTTTTCTGGTGATAATAAACTCAGTTCCATGTGCACAATAAAGCTAAGATATGACTACATCGAAACTCTTTATAAAGCACACGTGACATTTTCCATAAAGATGGAGTCTATAGATTGGCTACATGTGATAAATTCTATAGGTTGACAAGCTCAGGATAAGGGTCTGGGGGAGGATCCAGTGTGGTGCAAACATCACCAGGCTGCTAAGCACATCCACTCCCAGCCTTCTGGGCAGATTACAGGTTATGCATCTTTCTCTTTGAAGGAACAACCCTATGTGTTTAACATTTCTGGTTCCCTTAGTGCTTGTCTGTGAGCACAAGGACCTCTGTGCCTCCCATGCTGGCAAAGTATAAAATATTAAAACAAATGAAGAATCTATGGAGATATTTGTTTGTCAAAGGTGTACGTTTAAGGAGCTGGAGTGATTGCTCTGTGGTTAAGAGCACTTACTGCTCTTTCTGAGGATCCAGGTAGGTTTTCAGAACACATATGGTGGGTGGCTCAAAACTGTCTATAACCCCAGTTCCAGGGGGTGTAACATTCTTTTCTGGCCTCTGAAGGTACCAGGCATGCACTGGTGCACAGACATACATGCAGAAAAAACACTCATACATATAAATTTAAAAAAAACAAGTGTACATTTAATTGTGGCTTCATAAGCCAGGGGTGGTAGCACACACCTTTAATCGAGCATTTGGGAGACAGAGACAGGTGGATCTCTGTGAGTTTGAAGCCAGCCTGTTCTATATAGGGAATACCAGGACATCCAGAGCTAAATAATAGATCCTGTCTAAAAAATAAGTAAATAAAAATTTCAAAAAATTGTAGCTTTGAGACTAAGAAGTGATTCAGTGGCTAAGAGCACTCACCACTCTTGATGGAGAACCCAGGTTTGGTTTCCATATTCAGGGGCTCACAATTGCCTGTAACTCCAGTTCTAAGGGATCCAGTACCCTCCTGTGGGCACCACACAAGAGGTGCACATAGAGACAAGCAGGCATACACACACATAGATGTAAATAAAAGAAAGGAAGTTTGCTGCTGGAGAGATGGCTTGGCAGTTAAGAACACTGCTGTTCTTCCCAAGGACCTGAGTTCAGTTCCCAGCACCCACACTGAGTTGCTCATAGGAGCCTATAACTCCAGCTCTGGGGGCAGGGAGAAACTCAAATGGATGCCTCCAGCCTCCCTAGATACCTTTATGCAATGCAATCCCCCTACACACATAATTGATGAAACAATTTTTCAAAATTGTAGATCTCGATGTATGCACATCTGACTATACAAACAAAGGAGCTAAAAATAAGCATGTATGGGTTGACGGGGTAGGGAATGGGTTAAAGCAATGAAAAAAGTTTAAAGGTGCCTAATAAGTAGTTGTTGAAGCTGTGAAAAGTCTATTATATTGTTTAGTTTTATGTGTTTATTTACATAGGTATGTATATTTTTCTGTAATAAAATATTTTCTAAGAAGCAAAGTTAAGCCAAGTATAGTGGCAAATGCCTATAATCCTAGCGCAGGGCACAAGCCTGTTAGTCCTGTGGAGATTGGAAGATCAGTTCAGTGTTATCTTCATATGGTACATTTACATACATACAGGCAAAACACCTATACACCTAGAATAAAAATGAATTAGTCTTAAAAACAACAACAACAACAGGCCGGGCGACGGTGGTGCACAACTTTAATTCCAGCACTGGAGAGGCAGAGCCAGGCAGCTCTCTGTGAGTTCGAGGCCAGCCTGGTCTACAGAGCAAGATCCAGGACAGGCACCAAAACTACACAGAGAAACCCTGTCAACCACCAACAACAAAGATCTTGGAAACCTTTTGGAATAGGCAAGGCCAAAGTTATTGAAAGCATGGGAGAGGCTAATTTTTTTTAACTTACACAAGTGTACTCATGTAATAATTCATTGAGCTTTTTCCACATTTATTTTTGTTAGCATGCTATACATTAATAAAAACTTCAATATTATATATTGTCACAAAAATTTCATGGCAGTGTCTTAGAATGATGAAAGAATTTAGTGTCCCTTAATGTTCATCGATCCCATCATCAGAAGATAAACGTCACCAAATCCTAAACCTTGGGCAACCCCATAGACTCATCGGTTGTTAGCTCAATTAAGTGATAAGCTCTACATTTAATTTAAAAAAACTCTGTGTGTGTGTGTGTGTGTGTGTGTGTGTGTGTGTGTGTATGTGTAAATGTGAGTGAAGGTGCCCAAAGAGTCCAGAAGAGGGTGTTTGGGTCCCCTGGAACTGGAGTTACAGAAGGTTATGAGCTTCCTGGTGTGGATGCTAGGAACAGAACTTGGGTTCTCTGCTCTCAGGTACATGCATGCTCTTTACCAATAACACATCTCTCCAACCCCAACTCTCCTTTTTTTTAATGATACAACTTTTCCTTACAGTGCTCCAATACTGTGATGCTCCCCAGGCTCATAGTTAGAACAGTGTTCTTCACACAGCAGGGCACGTGTGGAACTGGGTTCAATCGGGAGCAAAATCAGTAGGAAAGGTTTTAACCAAGAATGTACTTCTAGGAAGTCACTCTGGTTCTCCTTCAGTTCCTCAGGCATTGTTCTCCATCTAGTGAGATCAAATAAAACATTGCATTGTACAGGACATAGTTATTACAGAACAAGGTGAAACATTGTCAAGGGTGAGAGTGAGCATGGACCAAAGACTCCACTAGAAAATAGGCTTTTATACCACACACTGAAGTTTCTGGAGCAACTTCCCCAAGAGATTTCTATCCACAAGATTGACAAGCTTATTTGGATTAATTTGTAAAAATGGGGCAATGTTTTATGATTTTTTATTTATTCTTTGATGTTTTATTTATTGTCTTTCGAGACAAGGTCTTGCTGTGTATCTTGGCTGTACTGAAATTCTTTATACAAACCAGGCTAGCCTGGAACTCACAGAGATCTGCCTGCCTCCACCTCGTCAGTGCTTGAACTAAAGATATGGGCCACCACACCCAGCCTGTGTCTTTGGTTTTATAATCCTTGAAGCAGTTTAAAATACCACACTCCTACCCAAAGCCAGAGGTATGGCTCAGGTCCTCTACTTATTATTTTTAAAAAAGTGAAAATATTTCAAGGAAGTTATATATAGGAAACAGCCTTCCCTTAAAGGGCCTCAACAAGCGACTATTCCATCTTTCTCTCACGAAGAATTTTAAATTTTGAGAAGGGGCAATTGAATCCATGCTTCCCTCTTTTCATGTGGTGGTTTCTAAGGGCAGTTGTGGTACTTTGGTTTTCCTTGACTTAAGGTGTGTCCATCCACAAAAGACCTGATGGAATGCCTGTCTAGCTATTCTGGCTACCTAATAATTATAGTTTATTTTATGTGTATGAGTGTTTTGCCTGCCTGTAGGTCTGTGCACATGTGTGCAGTGACCATAGAATAGAGTCCAGAGAGGATTCTGGATCCTCGGGGCTGGTTGTAAGCTGCCATGTAGGTGCTGGAAGTTGAACTCAGATCCTCTAGAAGAGCAACCAGTGCTCTTAACCACTGAGCCATGTCTCTAGCTCCACAAGATGTGTGTGTGTGTGTGTGTGTGTGTGTGTGTGTGTGTGTGTGTGTGTGTGTGTGATGAAAAATAGGGTCTCTCTATGTAGACCAGGCTGTCCTGAAACTCAGAGATCTGTTCACCTGTCTCTTTGATGCTGGGATTAAAGGTGTGTGGCACCATGCCCACCCAGCTAAAGTTTTGTTTTGTTTGCATAGAGCAGTTGTTTCTGGGTTTAGCCTCACAAAGCATGCACTTTTAGAGCTTTGATGTATTCCAAAATGCAGCGATGTCGCCGGCGACCGGGATGCCCTAAACTGTCCAAGAACCTAAGACAGTTTCACACGCTCTGAGATCAGGACGGCCTCCGCGCACTTCCGGTCTGTGTCCGGAGCCGCCATCTTGCTTCCGGTTTCCGCGGGGGGTTGGATCGCTACCACAGTCCTGCGCCAGGCTGTTATGACATCTAGAGGTAGTAAAACGCCTGCCTTCTGGTGAGTGCAGCCGGTTTCTGCCGGCCGGGGCGGGTGCTCTGCGGTGTGCACACGGTGCGATCTGGGAGCCCCGTGCTGGGCTGAGCTGCGCCCCTGCCGCCCCCGGTCCTGACGTGGCTGAGCCTCCCCCGTCCCTGATGCTGCAGAGAGACTTGTCCTCAGCCATACCCCTTCTCCTCCTCTTTCTGACCCCGGGATCACAACTGTAGTGTCTGGTGTCCCATTGTCTAGCAGTGACAGCCGTGGGACCTACAGCAGCCTGAGGTGTGGGGTGAGCCTGGGCAGGGGCATCTCCTGCCCTCTCCGTCATCTAGAAGGCTCTTACAAGTGTTGGCTTCTATGGAGAGTGCACAGTAGTTGCACAGACTTTTACTGGGGAGACATACACAAATGTCTGTTCACCTCAGACGGGCACCTAGGAATGACTAAAGTAAAGACTTCATCATGGTCCAACTTGGTGATCCAGTGAGTTTATTGGGCTTACTTATATAAGAAATGATGGTATACACACACACACACACACACACACACACACACACACGCACCCGACCACCAAGTCCCACCCCATTATGGATAGTGACCTCATGGAAGCCACTCCATCAAGCTCCATGTTCAGTTAATTTTTCATCTCCTGCATACTCTAGACCACTAGCAAGGTGAGAGAGGTGCCCTGGGCAGTAATGGTTGGAATCCCAGGTGAAGGTCTGTAACGCCCCACCTCTTCTACTTTAGAGTGTAACAGCTCCATTACCACTATTGCAGACCTGGGTTATTTGCCTTATTTCATTATTATGGCCGCCTGGTCAATCTTTGCTGCAAGATGGAGATGGGAGAATAACTTTAGCCCAGAGAAAAAAGCCATAATACAATAGTGAGCAGCGGAGTGAGCTGTTTTGTACAGTGTGATTTCAGTTCTTGTGGAAACATGCCAAACTGTGATTCCTGGATCCTGTGGTAGTTGTACTTTTAGTTTCTTGGGAAGCCTCGATGCTGTTTTAAAATAGATGTTATTAACAGGACATGGTAACACAGAACTATAACCCTAGCAGGACGGCATGGGAAACCTCATTTGGAAACTGTACTTTTGTCGCATTGAGGCCTGCTGGCCAGAGCACATGAAGAGACAACGCTAAGAGCATCGTGGGAGGGAGCTCCCCCAAGGCATGGACACCATAGGCAGGCTCTGGTTAAACACTACTTAGAAGGTTCTGCAGTAAATATGGGTCATGTTCATTTACAGAGACAGTCCTGGGCCAGAATGTTTAGACTGTACGAAGCATTTTGTCTGTGAAACTTAAATATGTAAACCAAGAGATGAAGATGGAATCCTCTGTGGTGCCTCTGCATTGACAGGAAAGTAGAAAATCCTGCCCAAGTGTTTTCTACAATTTCTTTGACTGCATCTTGTTCATTAAACATCCGTCCTTAAAACATTGCAGTATGTCTTCATGATATAGTCACTAAGCAGGCAGCAAATCACTAACCTATGGGTAAACCAGAAGTTTAATCTCTAATTCATTGTGTTCTTTCCTTTAGATCTATTGTGGCAGTTCTCAAGAGACTGTTTCCACACAGGAAACTTTTTTGTTGTTTTCTAGCTTTTTCCCTCAGCAAGTATGTAGCAATCTTTGCACGTTGGAATCCACCAACAAGGCACAGCAAATGCCAGTTCACCTCTGCTCGCCTTCCCTTCCAGCTGCGATTGCAAGGTGCTCCATGTGCCTTAGAGAGCGAGGAAAATGAGCACAGTTGTGGTAAGTGGTGTGATTATTCCCGACCTCGCTTTACATTGTGTCTTCAGAGCTTTGTGAGAGTTCCTTAATTAAAATTGGAATGGAAAAACAAACGTAAGACAGATATGCACAGACAGAATACGATCATAATGTAGACAGAACCATGTTATAAAGGCTTTAGAGTCATTTGAACTGTGCCACTGGTTTTTTCTTTCTTTTTTTTGGGGGGGGGGGCGTTGAGACAGGGGTTTTTTTGTGTAGCCTTGGCTGTCCTGGAACTAGCTCTGTAGACCAGGCTTGCCTCAAACTCAAAGAGATCCAACTGCCTCCCTAGTGTCACCACCACCTGGCATCACTAGTTTTTCTGGTCCTGTGTCATTTGTTATAGAGTTTGGATTGACCTCAGGAAGAGGATATGATCAATTCTCATGGCCTATGACGTCTAAACAGGCTTCATAGATACATGCACAATGATATGTACAATGCTTCACTCCCAATCCAGAGGCAAGCAGAGCATTCACAGTTGTCAGGATTCTCTGGTACTCAGACACATGGGTTTCATCAGAATTTTAAATTATAGTCGAATGCCAGCACAATTCTCTAGCTGCCTTATGTGAAACTTCTGCCACATTTGAAATTACTATCAGTGATCTTCATGTGCAAATTCTTCCATTTCAAGTTTTTTTTTTCTCGTGTGTCTGTGTGTGTGTGTGTGTGTGTGTGTGTGTGTGTGTGTGTGTGTGTGTGTGTGAATGTTTGTAGATGTGGGCAAATGTGCATGAGAATGCATGAGTGGGTGTATGCATGTGGAGACCCGAGTTGATGTTGGATACCTTCCTTCATCACTCTTTTTTATTTATGTGGCAGTGTCTCTCACTGAGTTGATGAACTCCGGCTGGTCTAACCAGCCAGCTTGCCCTAGGGATCCTTTGTCTCTGCCTCCCAAGTACTGGGGTTACAGGCTGCCGCTATACCTGCCTGGCTTTAATGTGGGTTCTGGGGGCCAGGACTCTGGTCTTGAACAGCAAGCGTGTTATCCTCAACCCCGCTTTCAGTTTCTGTCGTGACCCTGCTGGAACTTAACGTGCGATTATCGTTGTGTTCAGCTGTGTCCCTTCCATTCCACTGCAGACGTCTGTGCTTCAGGCCTCCCTGGTTTGCCTTTCTTAACTATTTGTCTGTAACTTGTACCCTTTGCTCAGCTTTCAGATCGTAAATTTGACGCCTGTGTAGCTATGCAAAGGCACCTCAAGCTTCCCTTGTCAAAGGGAAAATCAGATCCTCCATTCTTTCCTTATATGGTATTGATAACAATCTACCAAATGGCCTTTATCCTACACTAAAAGGAGGAATTCATTTTTCTTTCTTTCTTTCTCTTCTCTTCTCTTCTTTTCTTTCTCTGGACTTTCTTCTTCCCTCCCTGTCCTTTGCTCCCTGAGGTCTAATGTTAGGAGTTGCAGTTCCTGCTGGCTTTGTTTGTTGTTCCTTCTTGGTCCAGGGGCAGCATGTGATGCTGTGGATGGTGAGGAAGTGTGACTGCCTAAAGACGAGTGAATACTTTCTTGCTCACACTGGAACTGTCCGTCTCTGCCAGGCTGGGAGGCTCTGTTCCTCAGTGGTGATGCCTGAGTGCTGATGAGCTGTACTGCTCCAAGTGGGTGCAATGCAGGCCTTGGGAGTGAGTGGGAGAAAACAGAAGTTAGTGGGATACCATTTGTGTACGAGTCACAAGAAAGGCACACAGAGCACAAGTAAAAACAGAAGCTTGGATCTGAATATTACATATTTTTGCTTTTGTATGTTTATGTCAGTGTACCGGTCTAGTTGGTAGACCACACAAAATCATCAGTTTCTAGCTCAGACAACACATGCCTTTTAATGGAACACCTCACTTCACAGGCAGCAAGCATGGCATGAGCCCAGGCTCTTAGAATTCACAGGTTTTGCCCTGGTCTCCACCTTCCTGAAGCTCCTGCCCTGATATAGAATATGGGATCATCGTGAAGACACACGATGCAGAGCCAGCTAGACTGCCATCCCCACGGTGTTGGCTCTACATGGCTGTATGTGCATTGGACTCAGGGTCAGTGCATTGCCTGATATTTTCTTCATAGGCAGAAGCCGGAGTGTAGGAATCAGCAGGGAAAGATGAGAAGAATACCCACTCTTACCCACACTGATCTGCATAGTGGTTTGGGTTCATGATCAGCAGCCTGGAAGGAACATGATTGGAAAACTGAGGCCAGAGTCATTTAGGGGACAGGAATGCTGGCACACCTCTGTAAATACTGGAAGGAGTGAAGATGTCTGTGTGCCCTTACAAACCTCACCAAAAGGTGATCTCAGCAAAGGACTTAGAGTGCTGGGATAGACACACTTTGCTTTCTCTTCCAAGTGACCTCGTGCTCTGCTGGCCTAGAAGTCTCAGCTGCAGAAGGGCCGTGCTTCTCTCAGGAGTCACAGGTCTGGTTCTGTGGAGCTTGTGGGTCTGTCTTCAGCCTGGACAGTGTGGATCTTTTTGACCCGAGGTGTCCTCAGAAAGGAGGGAAAGTGCCGGTGAGGCTGGTGAGCCAGACTGTCCTGAAGCACTAGGAAGCCTGGGGGACGGTCTCTTCTGGCCTTAGGAAACCTGCCATTCCTCCTGACTCGCTTCTGACCTGAAGAGTTGTAGGTTCTGTTTGTTCCTGTTTGTGCCACCTGGCTACCACTGCTGTTACATACAAGCCCGCTAAGACTTGCCGACCGTACACCTCCCGTCTTTATATCAGCTCCTTCCTCTGTCTGTCCTAGACCCAGACTTCCTGTGTGCCGCTTTGTACTGCTGCCTTATTATTATTGCTTAAAATTACCTTACTTTTAGAATTTTAAAGGTTTATTTTGTAAGTATGAGTGTTTGCCTGCATGTATGTATGTACAATGTGCATGTCAGACTCAGAGACCCTGAAATTGAAGTTAGAAGTAATTGTGAACCACCATATGCTAGGTGCTAAGGACTGAACCCAGGTCCTTTGTAAGGGCAACAGGTGCTCTTAACCACTGAGCCATCCCTCCAGCTCCTAACATTATTTTAACATTTATTTGTGGTGTGTGTGTGTGTGTGTGTGTGTGTGTGTGTGTGTGTGTGTGTGTGTGTGTAGGTCAGAAAATAACTTGTGAGATCCAGCTCTTCCACCATGTGGGGTCCGGGGATCCAGCTCATGTTTGACAGGCTTGCCAGCCAGCTCATTTACCAGTGGAGCCATTGCCAAGTCTTTAGGAAAAATTCCTAAAATAGAATCAAGTGAGTTACAGCCGCAGTGGCAGATGCGGCTGTGAGCCTGTTGCTCATTAGCTGTCACTCGGTGGTGGTTACGTCAGTTTTCCTTCTAAAGTTGTGTTTTCCCTTTAAGGGGCGTGGCACTACTTCCTGTGATGTGCAGGCTTTGTAGTAACACAGGCGGGCTTCTTCCTGTCCTGCTCTGTGTCATGATCGCTAAAGACTTCATTCTGAAGCGCTCGAAGCCCACCAGACCATGTTTCCCCCCTGTTTGAAATGCTCATAGCTTTTTAAAGAGCCTGAAAGTTAAACAAAGTGTGTTTACTTCCATGCTGGCATTCTCAGTGTCGCTGCATTCATGAAGATTTCTACCTTTTTTCCTTGGTTTTTGGCAGCTTGGTCCTACCCGCCTCTGGGCGCTGACTTCTGTGCTGTTTCCTGATTTTAAATGTTCAGTTTCCCCTAAGAAAATTGTTGGTCACTACCAACAAGTTTTGAGGTTCCCCCACTCATCTACAGGTTTCGTAGTACCTAGAAAAAAGAGAGAATTCAGAGATGTCATTGTACTTGTGGTTACAACTTATGCCTAGGAGAGGATTCACTATAGTCAACGAGAGACCAGGAGCACAGAGTGAGGTCCAAGAGAGTCACCTTGTAGAAATTCCTGGCTGTCTTCCGTCCCTGGAGCTCTTTGTTTAGGCAACAGTGCCTAACAATAACCACAGCCAGTTAACAAGTGAATCTCCTCCTACCCAATATTTTTAGCATTTCTTAGGATTCAGTTATATCCATGTCATTGACCACCATTGGCTGCTTTAGTCTCCTGCATATTAGGTCAAGCTGATAGCCCATGATCCAAGCCTGTCCCCACAAATGCCTGCCACCGTGAGCAGAGAGACCATACACAAGGCCCAAAGGCTTAGGTGAGTAGAGATTCATGCCCAGGATCTTTGCAGAGGGCTCAGTCTTTCTTTGGGTAACATTGACCCTCTACTACATACATAGCTTGTGATCTGTAGGCTGAGATTTATAGATTTGGGGGTTTGTGCATTATGGTATATTTATAAAATATTTGGCTTTGACTGTGGGTTATTTGTTCTGACTTTACATGATAGTGAATTCTCTAGTCACACATGTGTCACACCACCTGTTTTGCCCTACTTATTGAGTTTCCAATGTTTTCAATTGAGAGTTCACAGTTTTTAAATCTTTTACATGTATTGTGTGTATATGTGTGTATGATGTGTGCTCGTACATTTGTACATGGATTTGTATGCACGGACATGAGTATATTCAAGTGTGAGTGCCGTGACTTAGATGTGAAGGTCAGAGGACAGCCTGAGGTTGGCTGGCCCTCTCCCTTGTTTGAGACGGTCTCTGTTGTTTGCCGTTATATGCGAGGCTAACTAGCCTTTGAGATTCTCCTGTTGTTGCTTCCCGTCTTATTGTGGGGCACTGACGTCACAGACATCTGCTTCCATGCCGATTTTACATGGATTTGGGGTTTGAACTCAGGTCTCTCCGATCTCATGACACGTGTACTTTATGCACTGAGGCGTCTATCCAGTCAAGGCTTTATATTAAATGGAGTCTTTCCCCTACAGTTTCTTTTAGAAAGGCCTTTTTTCGCCGGGCGGTGGTGGTGCACGCCTTTAATCCCAGCACTCGGGAGGCAGAGGCAGGCGGATCTCTGTGAGTTCGAGGCCAGCCTGGGCTACCAAGTGAGTTCCAGGAAAGGCGCAAAGCTACACAGAGAAACCCTGTCTCGAAAAACCAAAAAAAAAAAAAAAAAAAAAAGAAAGGCCTTTTTTCTCAAAAAAAAAAAGGCCGAGTAGTCCTAGCTTGTAATTCCTCAGTTCTTATACACTCTGTATGTGAATTTAATGTCACTTCATATGTGTATGTAGTGTAGTTATTCATAGCGTTTGTTGAGGTGCTCACTGACCCAGCCTCAGGGTTCACGGTGCCTGCCGTCAGCTAGAATGATATTCTTTAACTGATGCCTCTTCCTGCATTTAGGATGTCAGGTGTGGTGGCGCTTTGGTAGCAACAGCTCCAGCTGTTTTTTACATGTTCATGCGTGTGTCCCCTCTGTGCCCAGGACATTATAGTTTGTTCTTGCTTTACCACTTGAAGTGCCATGTCTCTCCTATCCCCACCTCCTGGCTGCTCTCCTCCCCCTCAAGTGGGTCCCCTTCAAATGTCGCCTGTGTGCTACTGTGCCCCCTTGATTCCTCTTCACTCTCCCGTCAGTTTCCCCCTCTTTCGGGGCACCTACATATATATGCACATATGGTAGGCATTGGAGTCTAGATTCCATAGCTGAGGGAAAACGTGGTGCTGGTCTTTCTGATTCTGCTTTACTTCAACGTAATAGTTACCTCTAGGTCCACCCATTTTCCTAACTGGTGTTCTCATTCATTCTTTGTGGCTTAATAAAATTCCGTTGTGTTTTTATCACATTTTCTCATCTGTTGATGGACACTTAGCTGGTTCCATTTCTGACTAAAGTGAATATCACCACATTAAACATGATGATTGGATGTCTCTGTAAAAGGCTGGCTCAGATCTTTTTTAGTATATTTCCAGGAGTGGAATATCTGAATCACGTGGTAGTTTGATTTTTAGTATTTTGAGGAACTTTAATATTGATTTCTACAGGTGTATAAGATGTATAAGTGGCCGGGCGGTGGTGGCGCACGCCTTTAATCCCAGCACTCGGGAGGCAGAGCCAGGCGGATCTCTGTGAGTTCGAGGCCAGCCTGGTCTCCAAAGCGAGTTCCAGGAAAGGTGCAAAGCTACACAGAGAAACCCTGTCTCGAAAAACCAAAAAAAAAAAAAAAAAAAAAAGATGTATAAGTGATATATAAGAATTCCTGTTTCCTCATACCCTCAGCAACTTGTTTTTTGTTTTGTTTTGGTTTGGTTTGGTTTTGGTTTTAGTTTTTTAATTTGTTTGTTTGTTGGTTGGTTTTTCGAGACAAGGTTTCTCTGTGTAGCTTTGGTGCCTGTCCTGGAACTCGCTTTGTAGACCAGGCTGGCCTCGAACTCACAGAGATCCACCTGCCTCTGTCTCCCAGGTGCTGGGATTAAAGGTGTGTGCCACCACCGCCGGGCTCCACTTGTTTGTTTTTAATTGATAATTGTTGTAATGGTGAAATTGGGATGCCAGTGTAGCTTTTATTTGCATTTTCTTGGTAGCTGATTGTGAACATTGTTTTCATCTATCTATTGAGCATAACTACTTCCTCATTTGAGGAGGATCTGTTTGGTTGTGGCCATTTATCAGTTGGATTATTTGTGACTTTAGTATTTACTTTTTTGAGTTCTTTGTGTATTATATATGCTAATCTACTGTTAGATGTATAGCTGGCAAAGTATTTTTAACTCCATGCTGTCTTACTCGTCAATTCTTGTAATAGACTCCTAAGCTTTTGAAGTCTTTTTCGGACAGTTTTGCCTGTGCCTATATTTTAACAAACTCCTAGCCATTGTTATACTAAATGTGAAGTGCTGAAGCGTTTCCTTTAACATCACTAACAAGACAAGGCTATTCAAACTGTACAATGCTGGAAGTGTTGTCCAGGGCAGGAGAAGGAAATACGAGGAATACCAATGGGAAGGGCAGAAATCGAATCACCTTTATTTGCAGGTGGTGTGATCTTACACCTATCACCCTAAGGTGTGATCTTACACCTATCACCCTAAGGACTCCACCAGAAGATTCTCAGATCTGATAACACTTCCAGCAAGATGTCAGGAATAGAAAATCAGCATATAAAACTCAAGAGATGTTCCATAAACTAGTAACAGTTGTAAAGAGAAAGAAGTCAGTCACATTTACAATATAAATTTAGCAAATCTAATAATGTAACAATTCTAAATTATGAGGTTAAAAACCTCTATAATGAAAACTTCCAGATATTAAAGAAAGAAATTGAGTAAGAGAATTCCCATGCTCATGGATTGGCCATGTAGTTTTTCTATAGATATATATTTATGTTGAAATGTTTGTACACACATTTGTGTGTGTGTGTGTGTTTGTGTGTGTGTGTGTGTGTGTGTGTTTGTGTGTGTGTGTGTGTGGCAATATTGTATTCCCCAAAATATTGTGTACCCTAATAAACTTATGTGGGGTCAGAGAACAGAACAGCCACTAGATATAGAGGCCAGAAAATGGTGGCACACATGCCTTTAATCCTAGCATTCCAGAGGCAGAGATCCACCTGGATCTCTGTGAGTTCAAGGCCACACTGGAAACAGCCAGGCATGGTAACAAGAGCCTTTAATCCCAGGAAGTGATGGCAGAAAGCAGAAAGCTATATAAGGCCTGAGGACCAGGAACTATGCTGGTTAAGCTTTTAGGCTTCTGAGCAGCAGTTCAGCTGAGATTCATTCTGGATGAGGACTCAGAGGCTTCCAGTCTGAGGAAACAGGATCAGCTGAGGAATTGTTGAGGTGAGGTGGCTGTGGCTTGTTCTGCTTCTCTGATCTTCCAGCATTCACCCCAATACCTGGCTCTAGGTTTGATCTTATTAATAAGAACTTCCAAGATTCATGCTACGTGTATATGTGTGTGTGTGTGTGTGTGTGTGTGTATGTGTGTGTGTGAGAGAGAGAGAGAGACAGACAGACAGAGACAGAGACAGAGACAGAGAGACAGAGAGAGGACTTTTTAAGACAAAGTATCCTGGGATGCCCATGAACTGCTTGTATAGCTGGAGATGGCCTCGAACTTCAGGTCCTCTTGCCTTCACGTTCCAAGTGCTAGGATTACAGGTAAGAGCCACCATGCTCTTAGTATATTATCTAATACTGAACTTTCCTGTTTTCCCAGAATAAATTTTCAAGTCTTCTGCAGTTCTCAGCATCTGCATCTTTTCCTCGGTCGTGAAACGTATTTCTGATTCTTTGTTTAGAGTCCTAAGTTACTTTAAAGCCATTTCACTCAGTTTGATGAAGTTAGATAGCACTGAAAATTTTAATTCTTTATGTTCCTGTAAAAATGTGTTGTAAGATCTTGTTTGTCCAATTGCCTGTTAGGCATCCATGCATTTGATAGAAGAAACTTTAGACAAGTATGTCCAAGATCGGTTGTAACTCCTCCCCATCATAGTGATTGTCATTTATCCCAAATGTTGAGGTGTCTCAAACTCAGAGGTCCTCCTGCTTCTGCCTCTTAGGTGGTTGGACTAAACGTGTGCATCAACACACCTGGCCAGTTTACCCTTCTTTATAGGACATTGGCGATGTGTATTTCTTTGTGGGTACTAGCAGCTCTTCTGGTTGGAGTTGGGCATGTGTTTAAGTGAAAACCAAAGGAATATCCATTATGTCTACATGTTTACTACCTCAGTCACTCATCAAGCTAGCAAGCAGGCAAGGTGTTTTGTAGGTTTTTGTTTTTCTTCTTCCTTAATAAAGAATGCCTGTAAGGTACATCTTACCAAAGAGATGCTTGTGGAGAGGAGTGACCTCCCATATTCCTGACCTCCCATATTCCTATTTCTTGCCCAAGGCTGAAGACTTGGGCTGAGGAATGTTGTTTCATTGCAGGGGTTGGTGTCATTTGAGGATGTCTCTGTGGACTTCACCTGGGAGGAGTGGCAGGACCTGGATGATGCTCAGAGGCAGCTCTACAGGGACGTGATGCTGGAGACCTACAGCAGCCTGCTGTCCTTGAGTGAGTAGAAGGCTACAGTAATCCTGTTAGCAGCACATTCCTTTTTCGTAAATACAGGAGCCACTTCAAAGAGTGGTGATTGTTGGTTTGGGTTTTTGTTTGGTTTTTTCCTGAGCTAGTGGCCAAACCTAGAGTCTTGCACATGCTTAGCAAGCCCCCGCCCAGCTAGCTTTCACTGACACGTAGTAACTGCACATATTTATAATGAAAGTTGTCATTTCCGTACTTGTGTGCTGTATGCAATGATCAGTATTTTATAAGTCTGTAAACTTAGATTTATCATTTCTTTCTATTGAGAGCATTTAAAACCCTCCTTCTTGTTTGCTTTCTATTTATTTAATGTGTATGAATATTTTGTCTGACTGCACGTGGTATGCACTGTGTGCCTGGTGCCCAGTGAGATCAGAAGATGATGTCAGATCTTCTGGAACTGGAGTTAAGGATAGTTATGAACTGCTATGTGTGTGCTAGGAACCAACTTCAAGTCCTCTGTAAGAAAACCAAGTGCTCTTACCCACTAAGTCATCTCTCCAACCCCTAAAGCCCTCCCTCTTACTTTCAAGTAATTGTTGCCAACAGTATTTAGTTATGGGAGTTATGTCTCCCATCCAGCTCTTTCTCTGCATCTATGAACCATCTTCTCTCCTTCCCTCCATCCCACACATCATCCCTAGGCTCTGGAAGCCAGATGTTCTTTCTTTGTGTCCAGGTTAACAGTAGCTTCCAGCCATAAGTGTGAATATGCAGTGTTTCTTTTAGCTTGATCTTCCTCACTTAATACAAGTATCTGTCAGCTACATCCATAGTCCCGTGAGAGAAAATTCAGGGCCTTTTCCAAGCTGGATAAGGTCATCCTCTCTGTATTTAGCACATTTTCTTATCAGTTCATCTGAGGGTGGATACTAAAGTAGATTCCATATCATCTCTTCAGTATATGATGCTGCAGTAACTGTGCACAGAGTTCTCTTCAAAACACTGAGGTGGATTTCCTCTGGATGTGTGTGTGTGTGTTCCAGGGGTTGTGTTGTGTTATGTGGCAGTTCACTTCCCAGTATTTTAGTGAGCACCATGCTGTTTCTCATAGTGCCTGTTAATTACATCTCTAGGAACACAGACTTTCCTTCTGTGTGTCCTCACCAGCATTTGTAATGTTACGTGTAGTGTGTGTGTGTGTGTGTGTGTGTGTGTGTGTGTGTGTGTGTGTGTGTGAATGTGTATGGGTTTGTACATGTGAGTACAGGAGCAGTGGAGGCCAGAGGAGGGCTTCTCCCCTGGAGCTGGAGTTACAGGCCATCGTGAGTCTCTGTACCTGGGTGCTGGGAACTGAGCCCAGTTCTTCTGCAAGCTCAGGAAGTGCTTTTAACCCCTGAGCCATCTCTCCAGCCCCGAGAATTCTGGTTTTCAGTGCTCCTCTGTCGACTGTGCTTTTGGTGTCCGGTCTGAAGTTCACCTTTGCCTAGGTTATATCCTCTTGTGTTTTCCATATTGGTTTTAGAATTTCAGCGTCGACTTGACTTCCGTGTATGGTGGGAGGCAGACTTAACACATTTCTCCATCACAAGGTTATCCAGCTTCACGGACATTGAGATAGATCTTCCTTCCAAACGCTGTTCTTGTTCCCTGGTGGGGACTGGCTGACTGTGACCCTGTACATTGGCCTTTGGTTTTTCTGTTACGTCATTATATTCTGTGCTTTTTCTTCCTGCCTGTGCAAGCTGTTTTGGCAAATGTCTCTTCTGAGTATGTTTTGAGGTTAGGTTTTCTTGATTGTCTGTTCTTTTATTCTTTTTGTTTGTTTGGTTGGTTTTTGCTTTTGTTTTTAGAGACAAGGTTTCTCTGTGTAGCCCTGGCTGTCCTGGAACTCACTCTGTAGACCAGGCTGGTCTTGATCCTAGAAATCCACCTGTCTGCCTCCCAAGTGCTGGGATTAAAGGTGTGTGCCACCACAACTAGCCATTTATTCTTTTAATTAAAATTGATAACTGTTTCAGAATGTCATTGGTATTGATTACTGTGAACATATGAATCACTTGTGTAGTAATGACACAGATGTGGGGAATTGAACTTTCCTTGTGGTAGTGGGCAGGTGTTAAGCTGTGGAATCTTTGTAAGCACTGTTTATGTTGATGATAAGTGTGTTAGATTACTGTAAGCACTCCTTCGAATGTCCTTCCCCCCTCCCCCCATAAGAAGTGAAGACTTTGAGAACTGGTAGTTTGATGAACTAGCTGCCCTGGTTGCCTTGAGCAGAAGGACTGACTCCCAGTTGATAGCCGGTGTAACTCCTCTTAGGGCGGTACTGGCCGCTTTAACATTCCCAGGGCATTTTGAGGGCAGCTGTCTGCTCTCACTCCTGAAGATGCAGTACAGCCCAGCACAGTTTCAAAGTTTCTAACTGACTTTTTTTACTCTCACGGGTTTTGGTGGATTCTGGGTGACTAGGGGTCAGAAGGGGGCATGTCCCTTGTGGCCTGACAGAGACGGTTGTGACTGATGGAAAGTAAATGAGGCTTTGACTGGTGCAGACAGTCCTCGTTGACATGTGTGCCTTCCTGTTTGTGGACCAAGTCCCTCTCAGGCTATGGCCACAGACTGGTCAGCTCACTTGGAGAGCTGCCTAGGAGACAGACGCCCTTCTGTGCTGCGTCCCCTGGTGTTCCAAGAAAAGGCTTCTCTCTAGTCGGCTCTTCTTCCCTGACTAGGGGAGTAAGCTGATCTGGTAATACCAAGACTAGAGTAGCAGAGACGGGAACTGAACCCAAGACACCAAAAGATGATTTTCTCTTTAAAAGAAAGGAGCTCTTTCTGTTGATGCTCTGTTACTGTCTCGTTTGTATTAAATTCTTATACATTGGTTTTCTCCTGCTTTCCTCTGCCTCCTGTTGTGTTGGGGATGTGGGGGGGGTCGTACGGGGGAAGGGAGTTCAGAGCTCACTGGTCACTCATCTGATCTTGCCAACTCCTGCATCTTGTGGCTGAGGAGCTTTAGACTTTTGTTGATTCAATGCATTGTAAAATTTTTTTACTTGCTTTTTTCCCCCTTGATCCAGGTGGTCAGTCAGAATAACCCTTTTATGCTGTATGTATTGCTTTTATTTTAATGTCCTCAACATTGGTTATAAATGCCATGTTCTCATAGAGTGTTCATATTGGTCCAGTCTTTGCTCAGAGTCTGAAACCAGTATTTTGTGTTTGGGGGTACAATTTGCACACTGTTTCCTATTACTAGATCAGTGTGATGCCAAACCTGAGTTGATCCTGAAGTTGGAGCAGGGAGCTGGGCCATGGAAGGAAGAAGATGCCCCAAACCGAAGGCTCCCAGGTCAGTGAATGCGCCTGAGGCAGGGGGTCCAGACTAGTGAACAGTCATCGGATGGTGGGAGTATGAAGTTCTTTTCACTCAATTCTGCCATCTTCCAGAGACTAACTTCGTAATCAGATGCTTGCTGTCTTGTGTCCCGGGAGGCTCTCCCTTCCAGGTGTACCCGCCTTCCCTGGTTTTGCTGTGTATTTTGTAATCTAGCAAGTTCTGCTCGCTCTTCCTGAACATTTCGTTAAGTAGTAACTCTAAGCCTTCCCCTCTGTGTTTATGTGATGCTTCATTGTAAGCATTTATTCATGGCCTTATTAATGCATTTATCACTTTTTATTTGATTCCCCATAGACAGTGGTCTACTGTGTGGGACCAACAATGGTGACCCTACAAATTTGCCTTGTGTAAAGAGCTTCTGCTGTGTTGAGACACAGAAATCTTTGGCATTGAAAGAATAACCACAAAAATATGTTTTCTTAGTTGAATAAATGAGTGAAAAAAATATAGGATGGTTCTAAAGCTAAAGCAGTTTTAAGGAAATTGTTTTAAAATTCATATCAGATTAATTTTGAGACTTACCAATTTGGTACATAGTTCATAGTTTGATAGGAACTCTAGTCTTCAGAGTGGTTATGTTTTCATTAGAAGTTCCAAAGTGGCATTAGTAGTTCTACATTAATATTGAAAACACAGGTTTCAGGCACTCACCTGTGGAATTCAAATATGTAAAAAGATGTCAAAATCAAATAGTGCATATCAAGATACCAGAATGTATGTAATTTAAGGAGCATCTGCAAAGACTCCTAGTAGGATAGACCCAAGGGGTGGTATGTTATCCAGGAGATCGTAGGCATGGAGTCTAGATGAACCAAGTCCTGTTCAAAGGCTCCTGTTTGATGAGGAAATTGTAATATCTAGTTAACCTTGGACCTTTTTCATTGTGGAACGCACTCTAAGTCAACAGATTTGTGCTGATTTGCTATGAAATTGTAACCCAATGGAAGGTCTACAAGAGCAGCAAGTGCTTTTAGCCTCTGAGTCATCTCTCCAGACCCTATTTTACAATATTACTTCATGGAGGGGCTACTTCTTCACTTTCGTGTTAGAATTCTATCAGAATGACTTCTGTGTTGTTCATGTAGGGCAACTTTTATTTCCTTTCAGCTATAGAGAATGTGAAGAGCCTGAACGAGACCAGTTGGGACAATCAAAAGAGACATTTGAACCGCCTGGTAATCACTGGCAACTCTTCAGCTGAGAAGAGGGTCAAATTTGGGAAAAGATTTAATATGAGTTCCAACCATGTTTTACACCTGGCTATTAAGAATAGGAACTCTTCTGAAATGAGATCTGAGGTGCTTGATATTTGGGAAAATGTGTATCTCCCTGGTGAACCCAGTGTCATGCAGCCTATAGAGGAACTTGATCACCTTACTACAACCAAGATGTCATGCAGACCTCCTGAGCCTCTTAGTGTGGATCATGGTGTTGAAAGTGGGCAACAGCACTTTCTGTATAGTCAACACGATGAAGCCTTCAATGGGAACACTGTGTGGACACATAAGGTATTTCCTTTGGGAGATAATCCAAGTAAGTTAAAGGAATACAGGAAAGCCTTTGGTAAGTTAGGTCCTAGTGCCCAAGAGGGGACCCACATAAGGGAAGACACTTTGGATTGTAACTTGTGTAAGAAATCATTCTCTGACAAGTGTAACCATACTCAGCATTTTAAAACATGCATAAAAAACAAATATGATAAATGTGCTGATTGTGAACCCACATTCAATACAAAACCAGGCCTTATAAACCTTCGGAGCACTCTGAACGCATGGGAAAAGCCCTGTGGGTGTAGTGACAATGAGAAATGTGTGTGTCAGATGCCAAAGCAGAGGGTTAATCAGAGTGTCTTCTCGAGTAAGGAGAGTAATTGTGCGAAAAAATTATGCCCCAAGTTACATTTCAGTGTGCACCAGAGACCTCACACAGGTAAGAAACCCCATGAGTGCAATACATCTGCAAGAATCAACAACCAACCTCGTAGTCGTCACAGATGTGGGAGAACCTATCAATGTAAAGTATGTGGGAAAGCCTTTAAGCACACACAAAATCTCTACTTACACTACAGAACTCACACTGGTGAGAAGCCATATGAGTGTAAAGAATGTAAGAAACTATTCAGTGTAAAGTCAAATCTCAGTGTACATCAGAAAACTCATACAGGCGAAAAACCCTATGAGTGTAACATATGTGGAAATGCCTTTAAAAGGAGGTGTGACCTAACTATACATCAGAGAGTTCACACAGGTGAGAAGCCCTACGAATGTAAAGAGTGCAGAAAAACTTTCAGTATCAAGTCAGGGCTCATTGTGCATCAGAGAATTCACACAGGTGAGAAACCATATGAGTGTAATGTATGCGGAAAACGTTTTAACCAGAAGTCAAATCTCTCTACACACGAGAAGATTCACACAGGTGAGAAACCCTTTGAATGTAAAGAATGTAGGAAATCATTTAGTGTCAAGTCATATCTCACTATACATCAAAAAACTCACTTGGGTGAGAAACCTCATGCATGAAATCTGGGGAAGCCTTCTATCAGAAGACAAACCTCTACAGACATCATAGAGCTTGCACAGGTGAGAAACCCTAGGTTCATAAAGAATGTAGGAAAAGTCATTTGTCATCTCTCCCTGAACCTCAAAGAGTTCAGAGGTGAAGATCCCTGTGGATGTAAAGGCTGCAGCAATCATCAGTCTTAAGTCACATCTCATAATTAGTGAACCCAAAACACTGGTAGGTACCAGTGTGGGATATGTCCAAAGACTTCTGCTAGATGCCAGACTTGAGTTGTTGGAGAAATCTTACAGGTGAGAAACCCTCTGAAGGTAAGGTCTGGAAATAATCAGTCCTCAGCAAGACTGGAGAATTCATATTGATGAGAAGCCCTGTGAGTGTAGTTATGTGGAAAGCCCGTTAGTCAGAAGTCCCATCTCTGTGAATTTGAGTTCACACAGCAGAGAAGGCCTGTGAATATGAGGAATGTAGGAAAGCATTTCAGACGTTTGTCACCTCTTCATGTATCTCACAGAATTGAGAGTTGAGAGATACTTATCAGTGCAATCTATAAAATGGTCACCTACCACCTGCCACATGTCAAAGCTGTCTACACATTAGAGAAATCTCACAGTTGAGAGATACTTACCAGTGCAATCTATAGAAAGGTCACCTGCCACATGTCAGAGCTGTCTACACATTAGAGAAGTCTCACAGTTGAGAGATACTTACCAGTGCAATCTATAAAACGGTCACCTACTACATGTCAGAGCCGTCTACACATTAGAGAAGTCTCACAGTTGAGAGGCCTTGTGAATATAAGAACTAGGAAACATTTCCAACAAATGTACATCAGAGTACTCAGCAATGCAAAGGGGAGGCGCTCTCAGCAGCAGATAGAACTCACTGCACGTCAGACATACACAGCCGAGTAACTGGATGCAGTGTGTGGAGAAACCTGTTCCCAGATGTCAGATCTCAGCAGTCATTAGGTGAGGAGCCCTCTGAATGTGAGGAATCCTTCACTGCATACCAAAGAAGACACATAGGATAAGCCATATCAATTCAATATGTGCAAAACTTTGGTTCTGTAAGATGGACATCTGCCTTCCCTGGAGAACCATATGAACACAAAACCCTGTGAATATAAAAATTGAAAAAAACCTGTGAATTTAAAGAATGTAGAAAATATCTCATATTCTTGGGGTGTGTGCAAGAGCTCACGCAGCTAAACATGCTCCCACCTAGGTAAGTATAACACATTTGTGTGCATCAGAAAACCCCTCACTGCTGAGAAACCACAAGAGTGGTATATGTGGACAAGACTTTTACCAAATGGAAACACTCTGGCTAGCTCATGGGCTGGAAGTACATGAATGCAATGGGTGTGGACAGTGCTTTTATAGGAAGTTGACCTCCACATTGGAGAATTCATTAGAGATGAAATGCTGTTAACGTGGAAAAGCCTATTTAGAATGGTTATGGATATAGAAAATGTCATTGTGAGAAGTCCTGTAAGCAGAGGTCTCATGTGCTAAGATTTACCGTTTTGCTCTAAGACTGGCAGACTGTATGTGTAGTGTTATGGAGAGAACATGGCCAGAGCTCTATAGGAATTTTAACATTTGTGATGACTTTTCTTTCTTGCCTCAACCCCCAATTCCTGCAGTACATTATCCTGGGATTTGTACTTATGGTCTGAAAGCAAATAAGATTATCTGTGGAGAGAAGTGGGTGTAGAGAAGGACACTGATTTACAGACATGCTTCATTGGAGAGAGCAGAGGTTTTATATGTGTTTATAAATCTCTTGTTTGTATGAGTGATATAACCTTTTTGCAACATAATGCAAAATCATTATAACCCATTTTAAAAGTATTTCGGATAGGGGACCTTTCATGCTAGAAAATTCACCCAGGAGAGGGCCCTTCTTGTCACCTTTGTATTTTCAAGCCATTTAATGGAGAAAAAGAAACATGAAATTTCAGTAAATTCTAAATGCCTTACCTGGCACCAAGACCTTGTCTCAAAAAAAAGATTGTTGAATATGCCAGATGATAAATATTTATGATGGTGCCTGATGCAGTGGTTTGGTCCACATTTGAAGACATCTGTGTTTGTCACAACCACAGTTTGAGAGATGCAGCTGATACTAGTGGATACCAGGAATTACGCTGAACTGAAGGACTGTTGTCCTTTCCTGAGGAGGTACGGACAGATATGTACTCAGCCCAGATAGGGCACTGACAACAGACCGAAGACACAGTTCTGTCAAACTGCAATCCCACCAGTGAGTGTGTGGAGGTTTCAGGAGTATGGGTGAGAGGTTGCCTAACAAGCACAGGAGTGATTCCGCAGCTGTATCACTGAAAAGACTCCAGCCTGGGGAGGACTCTTGAAAACTGAAACAAAGTGAGTCACATAGGGTTAGGTAGTCTCCCCCCACCCACCCACCCAGAAGCCCTTCCCGCTTTTATAAACAAGGGAATGGGCCTCATGAATCTTATACATTTTCGGGGTATATTTCCTAGTCTTAATGAGCCTTCCTCCAGGATGGGAATGTTTTAATTCAGAGGGTACTGATACACATCAGGCACAACATACCCTGATGTATGTAAGGTTTGTGCATATGATTTTATCACATCAACAGATGTTCTCTGTATTCAGGGACATGCAGGAAATACATTTATTGTAATGGTTAGTGTGATTTCATTAAGGTTTTCTACATTAAATACTATCCTAGCCTGTTTACATCTTGTAAGTCTCTAGTTTGTATTTTCTTAATCTTTTAACATATAAGTGTATATGGTGATTGTCACCAACTGTCTGCTAAGTATTGATGTTTGTGTTTTTCTAAGATGGTGATGTCTTAAAGTGAGCCAGTGTTTCTAAGAGAATAAGTATCAGGGTAGAAAAAGATGAATAAAGATATTTTTCACAGCTATCTTGTGAATTGATTTAGAACTTTGTGAACAAATGGTACTTGTTTCCCTCCTCTGAAAGTCTCAGAATAAGTTCCTTTTCAGTGGTCTCTCATTTTTGCTTAAAAGAATAAAACCAGTTTCAACTCTCAACATGACATGCCTAAAGTAGATACTGTCAATGCTACCTAGAATTAGTAAACAGTATATCATCTCAACATAGTAATGAGAGTTACAGTTTACAAGTACATATTAATAATTTGGTAGGAGGCTACAACACAATGTTCTTTGACCACACAACACCATCTTACACTTTGCCAAAGTGCAATTTGGCTTTGATTTCTTCTGGATACTATTCAGAGATTTATCTCAGCTGTACTTATTATAATTAGGTGAGATCAATCTTCCAATTTTTTTAAAGCTAAGCATATGACCTAGCTCTATCTATTAGCATACTGGAATGGGGTGGGGTGGGAGTTCCATAACAACTCTTAGAATAGTTCCTGGAGACATGGAGGAAGTCTGTCTTCTGTTATACACTGGTCTTTTCAGTCATAATTTCTGATTGATAATTTTGTCTCTCCAAATGTGGTTCCTATAATTGTTATAATACAAAACTTTCCAACCAGTGTGAATGATGTGAAGGACAATAAATAGCCAATGAGGAAACTGCTTTTTTGAAGGACTTGGGACATGAATGGAAAACATTAGGTTTCTCTTGGTAAATAAGCAACAGCCATGTACTTACCCAAAACAAGCTTTCTTACCTAAAACAAGCACAGTTCCAGGATTTGGGAGGCTGATTCAAGATTGTACATAGGGCGAAACCAACACAGGATGCATAGGGCATCAGCTCTTGAATGCCCCCCCCCCCCCCCCCCCCCCCCCCCCCCCCCGCGATTACAGAGAAGTCAGGCATCACTTCTGCATCCTCCCCTAGAAATAGCCCTTCTGTCCCTGGTGATACCTTGTTTTTAGCTCCCAGATTGTAATTGTAGACAAATCTTAAATAAATGCACAAATTTAAAAGGAAAAGTAGTTATGTATATAAGGGAATATATAGTCACATTATAAATTGACCAGAGGATAATTTACTATCCTATCTGAAATAGGACAGAAATCCTATTTCAGAATTAAAATTTTTTGAAGGGAATTTTTCCAGATGCTTGAAAAATTCATTGGAGTATAAGTTTAGGAAGTTCCTGAAAATTAGAATAAGAAGGATGCGGGCTGTTGAGATGGTTCAGGCAGGTACAAGGATGCAGGCTGTTGACATGACTCAGCAGGTACAAGGATGAGGGCTGTTGACATGGCTCAGCAGGTACAAGGATGCAGGCTGTTGAGATGACTCAGCAGGTACAAGGATGCAGGCTATTGAGATGACTCAGCAGGTACAAGGATGCGGGCTATTGAGATGACTCAGCAGGTACAAGGATGAGGGCTGTTGACATGACTCAGGAGGTACAAGGATGCGGGCTGTTGACATGGCTCAGGAGGTACAAGGATGCGGGCTGTTGACATGGCTCAGCAGGTACAAGGATGAGGGCTGTTGACATGGCTCAGCAGGTACAAGGATGCGGGTTGTTGACATGGCTCAGCAGGTACAAGGATGCGGGCTGTTGACATGGCTCAGAGGTACAAGGATGAGGGCTGTTGACATGACTCAGCAGGTAAAGGTACTTAAGGCCAAGCCTGAGGACCTGAGTCAATCCCCAGGACCCACATGGTGGAAAAAAGTAGACTCCCACTGGTTGTCCTTTGACCTCTACAGGTACCATGGTACAAGCACATATGCATACACAAAATGTGGACTAACAAGGATGAGAATGTGACTGCAGAAGCATTAATTACTAGTTATTTACAGTAGGTTTTTTGTTATGTTTTGGTTTTTTGATTGCCCTGGCTGTCCTGGAACAACCTATGTAGACCAGGCTGCCATAGGACTCAGAGTACTAGGAATACCTCCATGAGTACTAGGAATAAAGTCATGTGCCATCAGGCCTGGCTTATTAGTTTGAACATGTTGATAATGGCACCAGGCAATACATGTATGTTAATTGGACAAAATAGGAAATGGATATAAAAGTAGAGGATCGCTATTGTGGTTCTGTTATTCCTTGCAAGTCTTAAGTCATTCAGATTTTATGTGCAACAAATGTCATCTGTAAAGCACTGAAGTCTATTCTCCAAATTATTGGAATATATTAATAAACACTCTTTGTTCCTGTTCTCTGAAATTAAAATGTATTCATGATCTCAAATATTAAGGTCAGTGGGTAAGGGAGCACAGAGAGAGGAAACTCATGGGGTGGGATGGAGACATGACTCATCAGCCAAGTGCTTTCATTACATGGTGAGATCCTCATCTGATGCAGATCCCAGCAATGGTTATGGTGCCTCCCTGTAATCCTATTGCTGAGGTGGCAGAGAGGAGGATTACCGGAGATCGTTAGACAGCTATTTTTGTCTAATAGTTGAGCCCAAGGCTCAGTGAAAGATCATATCACATGTGCATTGATTACTTTTTTGTAACTATGATAAAAATAAGCTACCACAACCATAAGTGAATTACGGAAGAGTTTATTTTGACTTAGAATTGCAGCGGGATGAGTCCATCATAGCAGGGAGGTAAGGCAGCGGGAAGCTAAGACATCATGTCTCAACAAATACTAAGCAGAGAGTGAACAGGAAGTGGGATGAGGCTATGAAATCTCAAAGCCTGCCCTTAGTAACATCTTCGAGAAAAGCCATACATCCTAAACCTCCCCAAACAGTGCTACCAATTGGAGACCAAGTGTTCGAATGCCTGAACATATGGGGACATCTTAATTCAAACCTTGGCTCCCAGAGGCTCATAGCCATATCATAATGCAAAATGTGTTCAGTCTAACTCCAAAGTTCCCACTGTTTTAACACTGTTTCAAAGTCTCTTCAGAGACTGCTGGCACTTTTTAAAATTGTAACTCCTTATAAAATCAAAAAGCAAATTACACACTCACAACATAACGCTGCAGAATATATATATATATATATATATATATATATATATATACATATATATATATATACACACACACACACACACACACACACACACACACACACACACACATTACCATTCCAAAAGAGTGATGGGACCATAGTGGATGGGGCCTCAGCAGCTCTCTGAAACCACAGAGGAAGAATCTTTAACCCCCTCACTCTTGCATCCTTCATTCCTCTAAAGCCAATATACCGTGTGGATGATAATGCACAGTTCCACTGTCATCTTAGGATGGACTCTGCCCACCTTGAACCACATTAGCATCAGCTTTTGTATTCAGTTGCTTCCTAGGAACATGAAACTCTTTGTGGGATCCTGCCCTGGAGGAACCCTCCCCGTGTTCTAGTGCAGATGAGGTCTCACTAAGGGTGCTAATCTTCTTAACAATTATAGCCTGTCTTCTAGCACAAGCATTGTAGAACTGCATAAATATTATCAGTAACAACTATGCCACAATTTCAACAGTATGATGTCTTGAAATTTCCTCCACCAAAGAAATTAGACCATTACCTTTTCATTTACCCTCAAGCAAGTCCTTAGGACTTCCTCATGAGGCAGCTAGATTATCTATCAAAATATCACATGAATGGCCTCTAACCAAGTTTCTAATAGTGTTCCCCCCTTCTGAAACTTCTTGAGTCTCTACATTCTGCATAGTTCTCAGCACTACTGTATTCCAAGATCCTACTAGAATGGCCCACTAAGCTCTGCTTACAGCATCCAACAACTTTTCTAGTCCAAAATTGCAATGTCTACATCCTTCCAAAAAGCAACATGTTTAGGTGTAGCAAATCTTTCTCTGTACTGCCAGCTTTCAAATAACAACACAGAGACTTATTAATTATAAAAGTATGGCCTTAGCTTAGATTTCTCCCACTAGCTCTTATAATTTAACTCATTTATTTTAATCCACATTCTGTTGCATGGCTTAGTACTTCATCTCTCCATACTGCTGATGCTTTCTCTGTGTCTGGCTGGAGACCCTGCCTTTCTTCCTCTCTGAGTCTTCTCTGTCCCTAGAAGTCCCACCTAACCTCTTCCTGCCTAGATAGTAGCCATTTAGCTCTTTATTAAACCAATCACACTGACACATCTTCACAGTGTAAAGGAATAATCCACAACATTCAGGTCCTTCAGCAATACCCCACTCCTGGCACCAACTTACGTATTCGTTACTTTTCTGTTACTGTGATGAAATACCATGACCCAAAGTGACTCTTGGTAGAGTTTGTTTTAGTTTACAATTCCAGAGGGATAAGTGTCCATCATTTTGGGTAGGTGTGGCAGTAGGAGAAGGAAGCCTGAATGATCACAGCATCTCAACTACAAGCACAAAGCAGAGAGCAAAACAGAAGAGAAACACAACTGTGAAATCTGTTAAGCAAGCTCAATAAACTCATGGGTTCCTTAAGTTGGACTATAATGTAATATATATTTTTTTTCAGTTTGTCATTGGTTCCCTGTCTGGGTTTTGTAGATGTTTGGACATCCCCAAGAAGAGCCTCACTGAAGTGTCAGAGGAGGGTGAGTTCTCTCTTCTGCTTATGTTGGAAAAGGACCATGATGAGAGCCTGTTTGCTGCATCTAGATTGATAGGTCTCTGCTCTGGCCTGGGTACTAAGGTCTCCAGATCTGAAACCACATCTCAATTCTACCTTAAGTGTTGCCTGTCTGTTTCGCCATTTCTGAACTGGTAGCTGTTCTAGAAAATAGATTATTCTCAAAAGTGTGAAGGATCATATTGGTTTGTGCCCCCTTAATGGACACTAGCTGACTGTATGTAAGCTGCCATGTCTGACTTTCAAACCAGTTCAGTAGTCTAGACCCCGGCATGCCTCTTTGCTCAGTTCTTTTCTGCTAACTCCAGCAGTGTTGGAGTTTTTCTAGGCATGGTTCACAGGGCATCTCCCTGACTTAGTTAGAAGCAGCCATCCTACAACAGGTCCTCATCAGAACCACTTGAGCAAGTGCTCAGGTATGTAGTGGAAAGAACTGTTTGGATTCTAGAAAGATAGATGGACAACTGAGTTCCTCAGAGATTGAGAGAACTCATTAGTACCCAGGAGGACCTATCATCTCAAATACCTTCTGAATTTAGTCCAGTAAATATTAAAGATGTCAAATTATTTAGAGGAAGCCAGAGGAGGTTGAAGTTTTGGTGTTATGCTGAACAATGATTTTTGTTGTCAGAGAAAGTGTTTTCTAACTTCAAGATTGATGACACATGAAGAGGAAGGGAGGGAGGGAGAAAGAAAGAGGGAACAATCTGAGCACTGTTTCTACTTAAAAAGAAGAAAACATAGGTAACTCTTAAGTCGGTTATGTGTTACCTTAGTTCTCTAAATACTGGGTGAATTTGAATTGCTTCCTACAAACAATTCTACCTGTCTAAACTCTCTAGCAGCTTTTAAAATTTCAGTATTAAGGAAATAAAAGACAATCCTATTCATACCAGAAATATGGAGAGGCACTTAGGTCCTGTTAGGCTGTTACAGATCAAGGGTTTGCAATGAGCAACTTCAGCTATGAGAACAAAGTTGTGTGTCAGAAAAGTTTGCTCTGTATTGCCAAGGTATATTAGGAGCGTGACTGAACTTAGTCACACTTACCATGTGCTGCAGGGGTTGGGCCTGACCCAGGTGAGGTCTCCTCTTTAGAGTAGGGCAAGGGCACCCTGACAAACTAGGTTTAGGTGGGGGCTGTTTGCTGTAAATCCACAGAAAACCATGATCAGAATCAGCTTTTTGGCCATTTCACAATTGAGTTAGAGGACCAGCATCAATGCATGTGAGCTGCCAGCCACCAGGAAAGCAAATCTTGAACGAAGAGCAAGAAAATGATAGGGACACAGTAACCACTGAACTGGGCCAGTGTTGCGCTCACATCTTTCCTGGAAGTTGCATCTGGAAAACTATTCCAAATAGGCAGAGAATGTCATCCCCACAGAGATGGGACAACTAGTCATGTATGACCTGGTAGTGCTGATGGAGCATCAGGACATCATCTCTACATCAGCTCCCCTCATCTTATCAATATTAATGTTAGCAAAGCAAGATTTTATTTAATTATGGAGAGTTCAATCTCTAAGAATGCTACCGGTAGCTAGGCAATGGTGGTTCATGCCTTCAATCCTAGCACATGGGAGGCAGAGGCAGGCAGGTCTCTTGAGTTTGAGAGGCCAGCCTGGTCTACAGAGTTCCAGGAGAGTCAGGACATAGAGAAACCCTGTCCAAAAAAAGAATGTTACCAGTAGGCAGTCATCCCTCACAACACCAGCCTCCATCATGCCTTAGCAGACTGAGCAAGCCATAGAGAGCAAGCCAGTAAGCAGCATTCCTTCATGGTCTCAGTTTCAATTGCTGCCCTGACTACCTCAGTCACAGACTGTGACATGGAAGTGTAAGCCAAATAAAACCTTTCCTCTCCAAGTTGTTTTTGGGCAGTGTTTTATCACAGTACCGAAGAAGCTAATAGCTAGTCAGGACAGTTTCTTATCAGCATCTCAAAAATGCTGATCATAAGATACAAATCTCAGATATCAAGGGTTACAGATTTATAAGGAAAAACAGTTTTGCACATTATACAAAACTTTTATTCAAGGCAGTTAAGTGTAGGGCAAAATCATCTTTAGAGCTAGAGCAGAATGTATTCTGACAAACAACTTGGGCTGTTGGTGATACAGCAGTGTTCAGTATGCCTTCCAGCTCAGTGAGAATTAGGCAACCTAAAGGAATCTTCAGGAAACTGATGACTGCAGTCACTTCTGTTCAGTGGTTTTCTATTGGAAATAGAGTGTAGAAAATTGGGGAGGGGATGCAAACAAATGACAATGAATTGTTGACTACCAACTCAGCACTGACGCTGACATGACATCTGTCGTTCACAGCTCTTTAATTTAGGTGCCAGCTCTGAATGCCTTAGGGAGTTCATTTGTCCACTTCTACATGGGCAATATTCCTATTAGATCAGCTAGCAGGCTTTATATTAGCTTTATAAGCTACAAAAAATCTTGCTTAAGGAATTATTAAATAGTTTGCACATACACTAGGAGAAAGTAGGGAAAGTGCATAGTACTATTTGAGAAAATAGGTACATGTGCTAGAATAGTATTTGATGTAGAAATGTTTAGTTTATGCATGTATAGGGGGCTGAAACCAGAGCCTCACGAATGTTACCCATATACTTTACCACTTCACAAAGAAAAACAAATACAAAGCAAATACGCTTTCTATCCTTAACCTAAGTCTCACCAAAGGAATCTCCCATTAGTATAAAACACCCGCATACATGTGAATGAGGGAATCCTTTGTGCACTTCAGGCTGTTTACAAAGCATGTCTGGCCCCTATCTACTGTGTACAAGTACCAACTCCCAACCTCCAGTTACAACAACCACAAATGTTCCCAGACACAGTGTACTCTGACAGATAATAACATCACTCATATTATTTATTGGCACATGTATGCCTCCATTTGAAAGTTAGTATTAAAATTACAAAGACTGGTTTTCCTTCATTACAAACTTCTGACATTTAAGTTTTGTTCAAAGTTTCACACATTATCAACATTTAATTTATTCAAACTGTTCAACAAAACTTTTCTAATAAAGTATTCTCAATTTGCTATGGAGGTTTCCCTTGTGTACAAATTTTGAAATATTAAAGAGCATGTAAGTTCTCTCAAAAACTTCATTAAGTGAATTAGTTATGGAGATTTGCATTCTTTTCAAAACATCATGCACAAAGATTTGAGAAAGTATTCCTCAACTAAACTAAGAGTATTTGGGGATAAAAATGAGAGCCTCTCTGCTCTCTCCAATCAGTTATGCGTCTCTTAAATTGTTGACTCTCTGACAATGGATGTCAAGGCCATCTTGCAGGTCACATTCACTTCAGGCCCAGAACTCATGTAAACTCAGGGAGAAAAAAAAAAAAACTTACAGCATTTCTGTGGGCCTGGTAGAAACAATGATCATCATATATATGCACATTTTTCTGTGGGCCTGTTACATAGTCAGACAGACTACATAACAGAGACTGTGTTCCAAAGACAGCCAACTTGTGCCACACAGAAGTTTCTATAAAAATGTAATGCTTGCTAAGGTGGCCTTCTCACAAACATTGTCCTCAATCATCACATTTTTAGAGTATCTCCTGTGTGTGAGTTGTCTGATGCCTGCTGCTAGTTTCTGCTGAAAGGGCTTTCCCCATCACACTCATAGGCATTCCCTCAGGTGGATTTTCTGATGCACAGTGAGGGATGACTTGTGATAGAATGTCTTCCTACATTCTTGACATTCAAACCGTTTCTCACTTTCATGAGTTATCTGGTGCCTGTTCAGGTATGATTTCTGGTGAAAAGCCTTTTTACATATCTTACATTCATAGGGCTTCTCACCTGTGTGAGTTCTCTGATGGACAGTGAGATGTGACTTACTGTAAAATGTCTTCCTACACTCTTCACAGGAGTATGGTTTGTAACCTGTGTGGCTCCTTTGATGCACGGTGAGAGATGACTTATGAAGGAATGTCTTCCTACATTCTTCACAGGAGTATGGTCTATCGCCTGTATGATTTCTCTGATGCCTGCTGAGACTGGACTTCTGGTAGAAAGCCTTCCCACATTCTTTACATTCATAGGGCTTCTCACCAGTGTGAGTTCCCTGATGCATGCTGAGGTGTGACTTCCGGTGAAAAGTTTTTCCACATACACCACATTCATAAGGTTTCTCACCTGTGTGTGTTTTCTGATGTACAGTGAGGTTTGATTTACGATTGAATGTTTTCTGACATTCTTCACATTCATATGGTTTGTCACCTGTGTGAATTTTCTGATGGATAATGAGGTGTGACTTAGAGTAGAAAGTTTTTGCACACTCATCACATTCATATGGTTTCTCACCTGTGTGAGTTCTGTGGTGTACATTCAGGTCTGACTTACAGTAGAAAGTTTTCCTACATTTTTTACATCCATAGGGCTTCTCACCTGTGTGAGTTCGCTGATGTATGGTGAGCGATGACTTATGGTAGAAAGTTTTCTTACATTCTTTACATCCATAGGGTTTCTCACCTGTGTGAATTCTCTGATGCCTGTTGAGGTGTGACTTCCGGTAAAATGATTTCCCACACATATGGCATCCATAGGGTTTATAACCTGTTCTCTGAAATCTCCTGAGCTTTGGCTTCTCGTTAAAGCTTTTTTCAGATTGATACATTTCATACAGCTTTGTTCCTCTGGGGACTCTCTGACGTACATTTTGCTGTTTTTTCTGATGAAAAAATTTCTTACATTGTCTGCATCTGGAGGATCTGACTCCTGCATGTATTCTCTGTTTTTTGTGGTATGATTTCTTAATGAAGGTTTTCTCACAATCACTACACTTGTAATATTTCTGTACTTTGTGTGTTTTCTTATGTTTTGTGAGCTTGAACTTTGAACAGAATGTTTTCTTACAAATATTACATTCCCACGTTGGTTCCCTTACCCAAGTCATCTCTTGTGCATTAAGAGCTACCTCATCAGATGTTTTCCCAGACTCACCAACTTCACTGGAACTAGGTGCAATGTGGAACCTCTTACTTGTCCATAATGCCTTTGTATTGCAGGCTGCTTCTTGCCTACAACATTGAAAATGCTCTCGAGTACTTGGAGCGCTGTTATACAACCTATGATGCTGTGCATGTATGGGGGGCTTGCTAGTTAGGGAGCCATCAAGTTCCTTTCCAGTCTGCATGTTATCAGGCTCATTAGGGGGAAGCCCATTCTGCCATACATTAAGTGCTGCAGGTCTCATTCCTGAAGAATTTCCATTCTTTACAGTCATATTTGAAACATTCTTTGAGCTCACATTAAATATTTTTCCTAATTTAACATTCTCCTTAGTCGACGTGTTGCTGTTGGTAATTACAAGGTGCCACAAATGTCTCTCTTGATTGTCCTGACTGGTTTCAACCAGTTCATTTACTTTCTGGATATCTAAAAGAAAACACAAGTAACCAAGCTCACATACAGCAGAAAGATAAAGCATTGCCTTCTCATTCTCACTGCATTATGATTTCAAATAATATTGATATATGATGTATACAGATTTGTCCCCAGTGAATCTATCAATTAGACAATGTAAAATCACATCACTTCATTGATTTAAAATGTTTTTTTTTTTTTTTTTTTTCCGAGACAGGGTTTCTCTGTGTAGCTTTGCGCCTTTCCTGGAACTCACTTGGTAGTCCAGGCTGGCCTCGAACTCACAGAGATCCTCCTGGCTCTGCCTCCCGAGTGCTGGGATTAAAGGCGTGCGCCACCACCGCCCGGCGATTTAAAATGTTTTATTCAATTGAAACATGAGCGAGTTAAATATTCACCTATGCCGAGCTGTATATTTCAGTACACTCATTTCCACCTGCTATTTTCCTGTTCCTTTATTCTAGTTCTTAGTCATCCCACTTTCCTTTCCTAACTAACTGGTAAGGTCAGGTCCTTGTCAGTTAGCTATCTGCAGGTGGAGGTTCATGTGGTGTGTCTTTCACCTAATCAGAAATACAGTTTAGACTTAGGAAAGGATTGATACCTGTGTGTTTAGTTTTCACTTTTCTATGAGGAACCACAATAGAAACTTAGGGGGTTGGTTTATAAACACAAATGCCGTTCTTCTCACATGAAAACAGCTAACTCTATCCCTCCAGTTTCCTAATCAAAATCTATTTTATGCTTCCTAGAATCCTAAGAGGGTCAGGAAGCTCCAGCCTACCTCCAATGGATTTCATTCAGGAAACAAAGCAATGCCCATCATTCTTTGAAATGTTTTTCTGGATATTTCTGAGATTCACAGAACTGTCATTCTCCACTTAGGTTAAGGTACATACACCCATGCTTTGTAACTCTTCGCTTCTGGAAGCTTCTATTTTGTATTAAGCTGTCTTCTACATTATATATGTAGCCTTCTACATAAATCTATTGTCTTCAAATTAGTTTCATAAAGAGAGACTGTTGATGAACGACTTCTACACCCACACAGAAATCTCAGCCTTTCAACATGAAATCCTGCGGCAATTAAGTCTCTTCACATCAAAGGCCTACTTGTCCTGTCAAGTCTAGGTTTCCCCTTTCCACGCTGGGTCATTTGGTTGTGCTGAGTGTCCCCCTCACTTTCATGGATTCTGATTCTGTGGGACAGAAGACTTGATTCTAGGCTTCTTTTTCTATTTTTCCCATCAATCACCTTGGTTAATACCTGAATAACTATAATAATAAATATTTATATTAACCTACCGATTTCCAAAGGACTAAGATCATGACCACTCTCAAGTCTATATTTTATGCCCACTTATATATTAGGTATACCAAATTTGGAAAAAAGTAATATCAAGATTAAACTAAATGAATAATAATTTCCTTAAAATTCCCTTCCCTTTAGACTTTTCCTGAAATAAAACAGTATATACTTTTATTTCTTGTTTTGTGATAAAACATTCTTTGTGACTTTTATCTTACAACCAAATATTTTGTGTGTTTAATATTTTCAACAAAATGTAAGCTCTTTATGTGCAGATGCATGTTTTATTATTACTTACATGTCTAATTTTAAAAGTGCAATGTTTAGGAGATAACCAAATACCATGTGATAAAAGAACTAATGGAGTAAAAAATGCCTGGGGTAGAAATCACAAATAATTGAGAATTTAGAGAAAGTAGCGAACCAACTAACCAAAATTATCTATGAAGCTCCATATAGTTACAGAAATTTGTGAACTCAAGAAAATATGTAGCATAATAAAAAAAGAGTAAAGGTTCATGTGAGACTTCTCCTTGGAGAATGTACACAGGAAACATCTGATGTATGATACCAGCTGACCCCAAGACTAGGACCAGAGCCATCAGTGAAAGCAGCTCAACATAGCCAACGTCTACTAGATTCTAGTCATTCTTGTCTGTTTGTCCAGGGTGCATTCACTGACCTGGCCGACTCTGCTCTGGGACTTCTTCTACTCTCCACGGCCCAATTCCTTGCTCCAACTTAAAGATCACCTCAGGTTTGGTAATGCAGTGACCTGTTAATGGGAAATAACATAAGATTCTATCAAATGCTAAGTCAAGAACACGCAGAAAGATAGCACCTTTGGGAACTGAGTGATTGCTAGACAAATCTGAACCCTTTGTGAGTGTCCACTCGTGTCCTTCATGGTCTGCAATCTTGCCTTTATTAAGTAAAGTTAAATGGCCTGAGAAAGAAAGCAAAGCTGTGGTTAGTGCAGATCTGTGATCTCAGATGCCTAGGAGGCTAAAACAGAAGGAATACTAGTTGAAAGTCTGTCTAAGCAACTTAATAAGAGCCTGTCTCAAAATAAAAAATAAACAGAGTGTTGGGAATACAGCTCAGTGCCAGAACACTTGCCCAGTATGTATATGAATCCCTAAATTAATCCCCAGCACTAAGGATAAATAAATAGGAAAAGGAAATCTAAGAATGAGTTTTAAAATACTTAAAAAGACACAATACAATTAAATTTTAAAAAAGGAAGGGAGGAAGGAAGGAAGGAAGGGAGGGAGGGAGGAAGAAAGAAAGAAAGAAAGAAAGAAAGAAAGAAAGAAAGAAAGAAAGAAAGAAAGGAAGGAAGGAAGGAAGGAAAGAAGGAAGGAAAGAAAGAAAGAAAGAAAGAAAGGAAGAAAAGGAAAGAAAACAAGTAAGCAGACTCAGATATGTAGGAGACAAGGGTGACTAGAATCTGAAGTGATCTGGCTGTCAAGATGGGTTAGCAGGTAAAGGCACCTGGCACCAAGCCTCCCATGTGAGTTCCATCTCTAGGACCCGTACAGAGGAAAAGGAGCACCAAGTCTGCCAAGTTGTCCTCTGAACTCTAGAAGCATGGCGTGACATGTGTGTGTGCTTCAAAAATTTTAAGCAATCTGAATTTTGGAGCTAAAGCTTAACAAAAACTTGAGGAAAACCAAAAGGTGGGTGCCTCCACAGCAGAACTGATTAAAGTTTAGAATATTGTGGTCAGACTTTGTTTTTGTTTTGTTTTGTTTTGTTTTGTTTTTGAGACAGGATCTTACTATGTAGCTCTGAATGTCTTGGTCCTCTGGAAGAGCAGCCAGTGCTCGTAACTACTGAGCCATCTCTCTAGTCCCCAATATTTTTTTCTTAATGAAGAACACCTTCAACACTTTTGGTTTAAGTATTTGTCTGACTGGTGTTCAAAAAAGAATAGAGAATGGATATAAAAAACAAAACATTCAGCCAGGCATGGTAGACTACACCTGTAAATCAGCATTCTGGAGGCTCAAACAAGAAAATCAGGGAGTTAGAGGCCAGCCTAGACTATGTAACAAATTCTAGGTAAGCATGAGCTACATGGTGAAACCTTGTTTCAAAAAAACCAACAATGGGAGGCAGAGGGGATCCCAGGAGTTTGCCAACCAGCCAGCCTAGCCTAAAAGTGAAGGGCCCTGTCTCAAGATATCCAGGTTGGGTTTTTTTGTTTTTGTTAACTTGACAAAGGCTAGTTATCTGGGAATAGGAACCCCAATTGAAAGAATGCCTCCAAGGAATGCTTGTGGAGAAATTTCTTGATTAGTGATTGATGTGGGAGGCCCCAGCCCATTGTGGGCTGTGCCAAACTTGGGCAAGTGGTCCTGGGATGTATAAGAAAGCAGACTGAACAAGCCATGATTGAGCAAGTCAGTAGCAGCATTCCTCTATGGTCTCTGCTTCAGTTCCTGTCTTGGCTTCCCCTGGTGATGGCCATATAAAGCCTTTTATCCTCCAGTTGTTTAAGATACAAAGGAATAAGGAGAGAAAGAGAGGAATACACCTAACATCTTCCTATCCTCTAGCCTCCAAATGTTTATGCATGTGTGTGTGTGAACTTGTACAAATTCATGCACACAAGCACATATTCCACACACATATACACACCAAGTTTTTTTAATCCAAATAAATTATTTAAAAATGAAATAAATGATTTAAAAAATCCAAATTCAAGAGAAATATATAACCATCTAGATGCAACAGATTTGCCCAAAAAAGGTCCTGAGTTGTATTGTATATAATCAGACTGTCAAAAGCAAAACATGCATTAGAGGAACACCAGAGACCAAGAGGAATCCCCCAGGTGAGGACAAAAGATTGACTCAAAGTTAAACCAAAACCAAAACCATTGCCAGACCAGAATACTGTATCTAGAGAGGTTAACTTTCAAAAACTGAGAATTGGACTTTCTAAAAGAAACAAAAACTAAAAGAATCCATCACCACTAGATCAGACTGTGGTAATTAATCTTGTCAACTTAATAGGGTCTGGAATCAATAAGGGACAAGCCTCTGCACAGGTCTGTGTGGGTTCTCCCAGGAAGGATTAACTGAGGCGAGAAGCCCCTCCCCCAGTCCACAGCACCTTCTATCTGTGACCCAGATCCAGTGGGGTCTGAGGGAAAGCAGTGCTGTTTGCTGCCTTCCTGTACTTCTTGCTGGTGAGTGCATGCATCTCTGCAGCTAGTGTCGTTCTTTCCTGACAGCAGACTCTAGTTTCTCCAATTTCCAAAACGGATTGAAGCAGCAACTCCCAGGATTCTTTCAGGCTTTAAACTCTAGACTGAGACTGCTGAGGTATTTGACTTTGTGGACTAAGAAGCTACTGGGTTCTCAGGCTCTCCAGTATGTAGATAGCCATTGTTTGACTACTTTTCCCTATCAGCTGTAAGATATTCTAATAAATCTTCTTTAATACACACAAGCGCGCGCGCACGCACATACACACACACACACACACACATACACACACACACTGATGTTCTGTTCCTCTAGAGCAGTGGTTCTCAACCTTCCTAATGCTGTGACCCTTTAAATACAGTTCCTCACATTGTGGTGACGCCCCCCCAACCATAAAATTATTTTCATTACTACTTTATAACTGTAATTTTGGGGTTTTTTTGGGGGGGTTGGTTTTTCAAGACAGGGTTTCTCTGTGTAAGTCATGGCTGTCCTATAACTCACTCTGTAGACCAGGCTGGCCTCAAAGTCACAGAGATCTGCCTGCCTCTGCCTCTTGAGTGCTGGGATTAAAGGCATGCCCTACCACGCCCAGCACGTCTAACTGTAAATTTTGCTACTGTTATGACTTGTAATATAAATCCCTGTGTTTTCCGATGGTCTGAGGTGACCCTTGTGAAAGGGTCATTCAAACCCCAAGGGAGTCAAGACCCACATGTTGAGAACCACTGCTCTGGAGAACCTTGCCTAATACACAGCCCTACAGGAAATGCTTAAGAGATGTTATACAATAAGTGAAAGGATAACAACCACCATTACTAACGCACATGAAAATATAAAATTAAACAATACAGCAGATACACAAAAGGAAAAGATGAAAGTGTATCAATACAAGAAAACCATTAAACATAAAAAATTAACACAGGAAAAAATACAGAAATAGCCACCAAAAATGTCAGAAATACATCTTTACTTATCAAAATTATATCCTTGAGCATAAACAACATATTTCTCAATAAAAAATATAAACTGTTTGAATAGATGAAAATACTGTTATTTTCTCAATGACTGAAGAGAAAACCATTCACTAGGAAAGACATGTGGACTGAATAGGAAGGGGTGGATGTAACATGAAGATGGGAACCCAGAGCATCCAGAATTCAAACAAACTGAATCAAAATCTGTATTAAAAAAAAAAAAACAGACACTTCCAGAATATTCCCCACTGCTGAGGTGTGCCATTCATCTCATCTCACAGCTCACATTACTTCTCAGGACAGGACAAATATTAAGAAATGAAGTAAGCCTCAACAAATTTAAAAAACAAACAAGCAAAAACCCTGGGTTCATAGTTACTGTCCTCTCTAATCACAATGAGATAAAAGTAGAAGCTAAAGTAAAAAGAGTATTATTAACTATAGTGTTTGGAAATTAAACATCCTACTGGATGACTAGTGAGGATGAAAGAAAGCAAAATGCAAATTTGAGAATTTATTGGAACAAATGACTGCTACAACTGCATCTAAAGCAATACTGCAAGAGATACTATGTGTACCTGCATCAAAAGTCAAATCAAGGCCAGGTGGTGGTGGCGCATGCCTTTAATCCCAGCACTCGGGAGGCAGAGGCAGGTGGATCTCTGTGAGTTCAAGGCCAGCCTGGCCTCCAAAGTGAGTTCCAGGAAAGGCACAAAGCTACACAGAGAAACGCTGTCTTGAAAAACCAAAAAAAAAAAAAGTCAAATCAAAAGAAAAAAACTAACTTTTGAACAATTTTTAATTGAAATTTAAAAAAAGACATCACAAGTGATACCATAGAAATCCAAAGTATCAGCTGGGTGGTGGTGGCACACACCTTTAATCTCAGCACTCAGGAGGCAGAAGCAGGTGGATCTTCAAGGCCAGCCTGGTCTACAGAGCAAATTCCAGGACAGTCAGAGCTAAACAGAGAAACTCTGTCTTGAAAAAACCAAAAAAAAAAAAAAAAAAAGAAAGAAAAAAAAAGAAAAGAAAAAGAAATCCAAAGTATCCTTATCGAATACAATGAACATGATCAAATTGAAAAAAATCTAAAGAAATATGTAATTCACTGTACATACACAAGCTACCCAAACTCAACCATGAGAATACAATCTGACAGGATATTAATACATTTGAATCAGTGATAAGAAGTCTGTCAACAAAACCCACAGCATCACTGGAGAATGTTTTCAAATGGATCATCTTCCCCAGCCCTATCCAGTAGTCTCTTTAATGAAATTGTTGAGATGTAAAGACAGTAATACTACTCAAAAGTTACTAAAGCACAGTCATAAAGGATTATGCTGCGGGCCGCAGGAATATATCATAACTCAGCTGGTTATGGCAAAGTCACTACCTGGAGGAATCAGGGAATTCCTCCAGAGGAAGCCAAATCCCAAGGAGTTTTTGGTGTTACTTGGCTTGTTATATATCAGCTGTCTTCTGTTATGAAAATCATGTGTGCCTTCATAGTTTTCCCAATTGACTTTTCCCTAAGAACGGCTAACAATGTGGACTGATCACTCTCTAGACATACACATTCCAGGCATTTAGAGAACAGCCTCAGGAAAGGCTTTCTCTGGAATCAGATATCTCCCCTAGTCACTTTCAAGGACTAAAGGAGACACCACCCAGGTGGTTGCCCAACTTCCGAGGACTAACAGTGATAACCACCCACAGGCGAGTCTCCTGACTTAAGGTAAATTCCACAAGGAGACACCGCCCAGGTGGTCGCCCAATTTCCGAGGACTAACAGTGATAACAGCCCACATACAAGTCTCCTGACTTAAGGTAAATTCCACAAGGAGACACCGCCTAGGTGAGGTGGACGTTAAGTAATAGCTTTACACAATTTAGCTCGGACCCTCCTTTGATATACCGGGACTTCCAGGGCAGAGGGTCGGAGAAGAGAAAAGAGAATGGAAGAACTAGACGGGTAAGAACTTGAGAGGAACAAACTGAGATGGGGAAGAACTAGATTGAAGGGCTAGAAGAGAGTACTAGAGGAATGAGATGGAAGATGAGGATGAGCCAGATGGGGAACGACAAGATGAGGAAGAACGAGATGAGGAGAGAGAAAGAGATGGGAGAAAAGATGATATGGGAAGGAACAAGATGGATGAGAACCTAGAAGGGGCAGAACAAGATGAAGGAATTAAGATAGAACCCAGAGGGGACCTTGGACAAGTGTAGAGAGAAATCAGGCAAGAAAAGACCTAAATATGAGAGCAGAATATAAGCTTGTAACTGACACAGAATAATAAAGTATATGGACTAAGGAGTTTCGTGTACATAGATTCATTTCTTCTCATCAAAGATTAATTATCAGCTGGTTGTAGATTCTTCCCGGACCCTGGGAGGGGACTATCGAGGGGCTGGACCCCCATAGTCCCCGATAGGATTATTACAATAAAAATTATAAGCTTCCTGTTGAAGCCCCCACTGAAGGGCAGCAACCATGGCTCCAGGGTAGCCCATGATTGTTGGCCTCATCCCAGGCCACAAAGTAAGAAAGAATGTAAAAAAGCTGAGACGTGGCTGACAGTGCTGATGTCTCACTAAACATACCAAAATTTTAAGGGAATGTGCAATTTTCTGCCCTATGAGTGGTAGGCCATCAGATCTGCACAGTGCCTCCAAGGACACACAAGTTCATCAAGAAGTGGGTGAGGATGCACATCTGTGCCAAGAGGAAGTTGGAGGAGCTAGCCAACATGCTGGCATCAAGGAGGACTAGATCTCTTTTACCTTTCCCCTTCCTTAATAAACCTTTATCACACAACACACACACACACACACACACACACACACACACACACACACACACACACACACACACGGTATCACATACACAAACCATATCATATACACACACACACACACACACACACACACACACACACACACACGGTATCACATACACAAACCATATCTCTCTCACACACACATACACACACACACACACACCCCATATATACGTAGTGTGCATGTATGTGAAACACTGATGAAAGAAAATGAGGATCCCAAAATGAAGATCTCATTGTCATAAATGAATTCAATATTGATAAAATGTCCACCTACTCAAATCAACAGCATTTTCACAGAACTAGAAAAAAGTCAGTCCTAATCTTTACAGAGAAACACAAAAGACCCCAGACAGTCAAAGCATTCTTGGGAAAAAAAAAAAGAACAAATCTGCTCACTATATATGTAATCAACAGCACAGTACCTGCATAGAAGCAGACAAACAGGCTAACGGAACAACAGAGAAACAAGTCCATACATTACAGCCAATGGTTTTCACCAGAGGCAGCAGGAACATTTAGAAAGGAGGTTCCCTTCAATAATTAGTTAAAAAAAAACAACAACTATACACTCCTGCATACAGAAAGATATTAGACCCCCTATATCTTACCATATTCAGAAATCAAATTAAAATATATCAAAGACTGCCGGGCGGTGGTGGCGCATGCCTTTAATCCCAGCACTCGGGAGGCAGAGCCAGGTGGATCGCTGTGAGTTCGAGGCCAGCCTGGGCTACCAAGTGAGTTCCAGGAAAGGCGCAAAGCTACACAGAGAAACCCTGTCTCGAAAAACCAAAAAAAAAAAAAATATATATATATATATATATATATATATATATATGTCAAAGACATAAACACAAGATCTGAAACTACTGAAATAAAATACAGGGAAGCTGAATATTGATTCAAAGATTTTATTTCCTTTTTGAGATTGGCCTCCCTACATTGCCAGGCTGGTCTGGAAGTCCTGAGCCCAAGTAATGCTTCCTCCTCAATTTCAAGGGTGTGGGAAACACAGACATGCACAATCACACTCAGCACAAAGATTATGACATGACCTCAAACCACAGCCATCAACAGCAAAAACTGACAACTGGGATTTCATAAATAAAAAAACCTCTATAAAGAAAGGCAAATGACAAGAGTGAAGTATTAACATATACACTGAAAGAAAATGTCCAACTACACAAGAGGCTAATTTCTGGAATATACAAGGAATTTAACAGCAGAAAATAATTTAACTAAAAATTGAACAAGTGAGCCGGGCGGTGGTGGCGCACGCCTTTAATCCCAGCACTCGGGAGGCAGAGCCAGGCGGATCTCTGTGAGTTCGAGGCCAGCCTGGGCTACCAAGTGAGTTCCAGGAAAAGGCGCAAAGCTACACAAGAGAAACCCTGTCTCAAAAAACCAAAAAAAAAAAAAAATTGAACAAGTGACTTGAATAGGTGTTTTCCCAAAGGCATATAAATAACTCACAAACTCATCAATAAATGGTCAATAGTTGTAAATATCAGAAAAATGCTAATCAAAACCACAGTGAAATATCATAACACTTGCAGTTCAAATATTATCAAAACCACAAACAACAGGACACAGAGAAAGATACATTACCCTACACTGTTGCTGGGAATATGAAATTGTTACTATGAAAAACAGTATGAAAGTTCCTCAAAAAAAAAGAAACTAGAAATAGAACTACTTTTATGGTGCAGCTACTACTGAATATATTAAAAGAAAATGAAATCAGTATTTTGAAAGATCATGAGTTCAAGGTAACCTTGGGCTACATGAAATCTTGTCTTTTAAAAAAAAGGTATCTATGCATAAGGGAATATTAATCACAAAGAATTCAAAAATTATCTCAGGTTGGAACTGATGGATGTTTTCACTAAGTAAGTCAGGCATAAAAAGATAAACATTGCATATCCTTGTTTATATGTGGAAGACAAAGTTGCACTCAAAGAAACAGAGGCAAGAATGGTTATAATAGCCTAGAAGAGTTATAATAGCCTAGAAGAGTATGCGAGGGAGGGACTGAGCAAAGATGGTTAATGCATGCAGGGGTACAAGTGGATAGCCAGTATAACTTTCAATTTTCTATAGCACAGAAGCATGACCATGGTTGAAAATGATTAAATGTTTCAAAATAGCTAACAGAGGTTTAAATGTTCCCATTATAAAGATGTGATATGTCTGCATAGACCTGCCAATTTCTGTAGGTAGGTTTATTTATACATACGTGTGTGTGTGTGTGTGTGTGTGTGTGTGTGTGTGTGTGTGTGTGTGTGTAAACAAATTTCAACTGTTCTTACTAACAAAGGAAGTGCTTCTAATACTACCGGGGACTTTCACTCACCCAAGGACTCCAGGCTGCTGTAGGTCTCCAGCATCACATCCCTGTAGAGCTTCCTCTGAGCATCATCCAGGTCCTGCCACTCCTCCCAGGTGAAATCCACAGAGACATCCTCAAATGACACCAACCCCTGCAATGAAACAACATTCCTCAACTCAAGCTTTTGGGGCTATCAAAAGCTAGGAATGTGGGAGTTTGCTCTTTGTGAGTGTCTCTCATGCAGGCTGCATATTGGTTTATATTCTCTATCATGGGATGGAAAAATCACTAATATTTTATGCTTCTGTACTAATTTAGTAACACAAAAGACTACTACTACAGAATTTTCCTTTCCTAACAAAAATGGATGGATTATGTGCAGTAAAACATGCACAAGACCCTGGATTCAATTCGCAGTAACACACACATATACAAACTCTCCCTCTATCTTAAAAGGAAGAAAGAAAGAAAAAGAAAAGAAACCTTGTCCACAAGTGGCCTGGTAATCTAGTCTGAATGAGGACACAGGCACATCTCATCCTTGAAATAATGTTGAATAAAGACACATGTCAGTGCAGAACAGGGGGATGAGGACTACTACGCATCCTTGAAGTTATGCTTTACTGACGGCAGGCTTAGCTCTTCGACCCAATGAGTTCTCATGAGTAACAAGCCACAGAAGTCAAGTTGTAAAAGCACAAAACCATGGGCGGTTAATGGACCTATACGTAGACCCACATGTATGTGACTGTTCCTGGGCAATGGTGAGTTATAGTTATATGTTCAGGTGACTGACAACCCAGTGGTTCTACATTTAAAAATGGTCTGATTCCAACAACTCGAGTACATTTACAGTAATCTTTATATTTGCCTCTTAAATCTAAGATCTGCATTTTGAAAGCCATCTCAGGAAAGGAGGTCAGAGAAGAATGCAAATGAAGAATAATGAGAGAAGGAACCAGGTGACACATGATTACCTGCACTGGGTATACAGCCTTTGAATACAGAATAGAAACCACCCTTAGCTAAGTAGCAATAGGCCAGGTGGGGCTACATGAGATCCTGTCTCAAAAACCAAAAAGAAAATATAAGAATGCAGCTGTGGGAGCCCACAGAGGCTTCCTAGTGAGAACTTACTCAGGGTCCAAGAATCTGAGCTTGCTTTACCCAGCAGGGCTGCATAAGGAGATAATTTGACCACGGGCATGCTTACCAGGTGTTTGGAAGGGTTTGCACTTGGCTGTACGGTGTGCTTTGATCTTGCAAGGGGGAGGTCTTTTGTCTCTCTCCTTGGCATATTATAAAAAGCCCTCTTGAATAAACTTCAAGGCTGTTGGGTATTGATCCAGGCCCTCCTGAAGCTATCCTGTGTTTCTGTCTTTCTTCTTGTCTCCATCTTTCACTCTGTCTGATATTTCCTAATTCCTCTCTCTTCCACCTAAACCCTTCAAAAGTTGGGAGCGGGCTCCCACATACAGCCAAGTGTGGCGGTGCACAGATCTCTGTTAAGTACAAGGCCAGCTAGGGCTGCATAATGAGACCCCATGTCAAACAAGCAAACAAATGAACAAGCACATATACAAAGAGAGAATAGAAAACACATCCTAGAAAAATGAAAAAGCAAAAAATTCCAGGACTAAAATTTGGTAATTGTCTGTTGTGCTTAGAGTAAAAAGAGATATATACTTTCAGGATGTATACATGATAAGTAGAAAATAATTTTGTAAAAATTAAGGGTAAGTTGTGGTGATAGATTGTGTACCCTAATAAACTTGCCTGAGGATAAGAGAAGCAGAACAGCCAGGCACTGGTTCTTACCTCTATGAAATCCTCAGCCTAAAGAGAGTGAGTTCCTGTTTCCTCACACCTTATATACCTTTCTCTGCCCAGACATCACTTCCTGGGATTAAAGGCATGTGTGCTTCCCAGTACTGAGATTAAAGGTGTGTGTCACCACTACCTGGCTCTGTTTCCAACGTGGCCTTGAACTCACAGAGATCCAAAAGGATCTCTGGCTCCCGAGTGATAGGATTAAGGGTGTGCCCCACCACTGCCTGACCTCTATGTCTAATCTAGTGGCTGGCTCTATCCTCTGATCCTCAGGCAAGTTTATTAGGGTACACAATATATTACCAAAGGAAGTACAATGAATATGATAGGTAATAGATTGATCTTAAAATGTACTATTGAGTTGGATAGTTTGTTTTTGAGACAGTGTCTTATGCAGTCCAGGCTAGACTCAAACTCTGAGTAGCTGAGGCTGGCCTTGGACTCTTGATCCTCTTGCCTCCAGGGTACTAGAATTACAAGCATGTGAACCACCATGCCCAACTAAACATACTATGTTTCTGTGATTAGACATGTGAGAACATTCAACTGGCTACTGGATATAGGACCTGTGACCCCATAAGGAGTGGCACTATTAGGAGATGTGCCTTTGTTGGAGGAAGTATTTCACTATGGGGGTTGAGCTTTGAGATCTCTTATGCTTAAGCTATGCTCAGTGTGATAAACAGTTCACTTCCTGTTGCCTGTGGATCAGGATGTAGAACTCTCAGTTCTTTCTCCAGCACCATGTCTGCCTGCACACCACCATGTCCCCCCATGATGATAATGGACTCTGCAACTGTAAGCTGGCCCTAATTAAATATTTTCCTTTATAAGAGTAGTTGTGGTCATGGTGTCTCTACAGCAATGGAAACCCTATTAAGACAGGACCTAGCAATCAAAGGACAGTTTTAGCAGGAAAACTAAGATTTCACTAACAGCATAACCTCAGTCATACAAAGACAAAAGAGTAAGTGAAATGGCCTCAGGAGAACCCAAGAGATTGTCAAAATAAAAGTACAGAATCCGCAGAAACATTAACATTCAGTGACTAAGGAAGAGAATCAGACCACAGGAACTGAGAAATACTCTTAAATACTTATCTAGAAATAAAGAAAAGCTCAATATTAAAAAATACATTAATGTATTTCACTGTATCCACAGTTCCACTGGTGGGAGTGTGTGATCTTGTGATCATCCTCAAAGACACGGAAAAGGCATTTTTTTATTATTTATTTTATTTTATGTGGATGGGTGTTTTGCCTGCATGTATATATGTGTACCTCATGCATGCAGTGCCCACAGATGCCAGAAGGCCTTGCATACCCTAGAACTGGTTGTGAGCTGCCATGTGGATGCTGGGTATTGAACCCAGGTCTTCTGGAAGAGTACTCTGTGTTCTTAAACACTGAGCCATTTTTTTTTTAAACAAGAGCCCTTTGTAAAGATTCTCGGCCAAAAAAAATTCAGGACAGTCTTTCTTCTCATGATAAAATTTATGTCTCTTAACAAAAAATGCAGGTTGACAGCCGAGAAAAAAGACAGAATGATAAGGATGCCCCATCTTTCCAGGCAAGGTTTGGTAGGCCTGTAATCCCAGCACTTGAGGGGTAGAGGCAGGAGGATCCAAGTTTGAGGCCAGTCTGGTCTACATAGCAAGACCCTATCTACAAAACTCAAACATAAACATAAAGACCCACCTCATGAGCACCAGCACTGTATAAGACATGCCAACCAAGTTAAATGAAAAGGGAAAAATGCGGATTATGATTTCCATATCATTAGAAGTAAAAACACCTGATAATCTCCTGTAAAGTATTTCAAATAGAGAACTCAATAAATTAAAACTATAAAAAATTAAATTCTACATGTGGGACTACTTATACAACAAAAGCACTGAAATAAAACCCTGGCCGGACTAACAACAAAGTATGCAAATATATGAAGGAAGAAAAGGGTGGGGGATTAAAAAAAAAAGCAAATAAAGAGAGTAGCATATTTATGGAGTAGAATTTTATATCATAAAGTCACTGACTCTCTGTAGGTCAATAATCTAATTTAACAGCAGTCCAATGGAAGCATATAATTCATAGATGTGGACAAAGGAATTTCAGTTTTTATGGGGAACTGAAGAAGCAAAAATAGGATGTGATTAGTTACAGTTGCTTTCTCCAATCCAAATCCCTCCCTGCGTTAGCTGCTTTGGGCTTCCATAACATGCTGCATTTTCTCAGTTCTGCAGGATCAAGATACCAGCTGACTCAGTTTCTGCTGAGGCCTTCCCAGGCTTATAAAGGCAATTTCCTTGATGTGTACTCACACAGTGCAGTGAGAAAGAACTCTCTCTCTCCTCTTTTAAAGGCCCTTAGTCCTATAAGATTAGGGATAGTACTTTTTCAACTGCAGCTAACTCCAAAGTGCCCTAACCCCAGATATAGTGACATTTGGTTTTAGTGGTCAGCCTCACCATATAAATTCATTTACAGCATTTGTCATTCCTAACTCTGATGAAAAATCAAATGCCTACTTGTAGTCAATCCAATAATCAGGTTTATAATCCCCCACTTAGCTTGGCTAACCAAACAGTATTGTCCATGTAGACCAGAGGACAACCTCAGATATAGTTCCTCAGAGCCATCTTCCTTAGAGAATTCGTATCCTCCTTCCTTAGAGCCCTGGATCCCAGATCCCCCCTTTAAATACCCATTGGTATAGTATGTATATGGGGTCCTTTAAATAAAGACAATGGGCAGGGTAGGGTGAGAGGAAGCAGTACCTGGTGTTCCACTTTTGGGATGCCCCTCTCTGTGGACTTCATTCTTCTGTCCATAACAATGGAGACAGTAACACACATTTGAGTGTGTAGGCCTCATCCTGAGCAAATCTGTAATGACGTAAAGGACAGAAACGCAATCCCTACCTCCTTCTATGAAAGTACAGACCCCAGAGCCAAGGGAAGAGGTGAAAAGGTGATAACCAATGACCCCAAAACAAACCATATAATCTAGTTTTCAGTGATCAAGATTTCACATCTTTCAAGAAAGTTATTTTGAGTATTTTGCTTTTAGTATCCTTTACTGGAATTGCTCAACTTCATTTTTGGACTCTCCCTTGTGTAGAGAAACACAGTTGATTTTATTTTTGACCTTTGTTACTTTACTCAATTTTTATGTCATATTTTTAATGAACACAGTGTCACCTCATCTCCAAACGCATATGATTATGACCCTCCTCTTTGAATTTACATGACTCTTAGTCATTACTGCTGCCATGGGTCCTGGACAGCACCTCTAGGACAGTAATAATAGCAGTAGTGAGAATGGGTATGTCTTATTTCTCTTCTCAGGAAATAAAAATACTGGTTTTATTAAGTATGACATTAATTCCAAGGAAAATGTAACCTTATGTTCCTACACTGTTCTCCAGTTTGTTTTCGGCATTTACTGAAATGGTCATGGGAATTTTTAAAAATTTATTTAATTTAGTGTATGTGCATACTAGTGCCACAGAGCACACATGGAGGTCTAAGGACAACATGTGGAATTTGGTTCTTTCCTTTCACCTTGTGGGTCCTGGAGATCCAACTTAGGTTGTCAGAGTTGAGCACCTTTACCCACTGATCCGTCTTGATGGTGTTCTTGTGGATTTTCGATTGTCAATTGCCATGGCATATTACATTAAATCATGTTTGACAAAAGATTTTATATATATAAGTATATATAATCTCATACTACTGTTTCTAGATAAGGTAAGGGAGTAAAGACAATAACACGCACATATATTACCTTCCATAGTTTCTTACTTACCTTCACTGGTGCCTTGTGTTTTCTTGCTCTACACCGCTGGGACCATCTCCTGTGGCTGTAAGTGACAGGCCTCTTCTTGTAGCTTCTCTTCTGCTTTCCAGTGTCAAGAGTTTGACTGGGGAGTTGACTCATGGAGTTCTCCACACGGTCCTGCTGCAAGTTCCTCTATAAAACCATACAGTGTTGAAGATGTGAGTGACTTAAGAGCCACATTTACAGTGCAAAGACACATGAACGAAAGCAAAATTCAACAGAATGACCCTCGGTCTCCGAGGATGAGTCACACTGGGATTTGTCTTGTGAGCTTGGCAAATGCAGCGCCCTGAGTACAATTTAAACCTTTTGTAAAATTGTCATAAAAGCAAATGCTAAAAATGCCTCAAAATAATTGCAAAACACACCACGTATTGACACAAGTTTTGCTATAGTTATTTATAAAAAGCTTTTTAAGTTTCTCCCCTACATGTAACATGGTCTTAAGAAAACACTTCCAATAATATCAACTTAAAACTTACAAGTCCTGTGGGAAATCATGTAAATTACAGCTACAGAACCTAGTCAAAGATGCAGGAATTCTGATTTGTTCTAACTGTTCTATTTGAGACTTTACAAAGTGAGGGGAAATGGGGATTTTAAATGGGATTTGAAAAGTTTCTAACCATTGTAAAGAAGTCCACAGATTTCTTTGATGCCCAGGGCCACACTTGAGACCAACTTCCTACAACGCTGTCCCAATGCCTACTTCTCAGCACCACCCAATAATACATATCATACTGCGGATTCATCAAGGGATTAATCTATTCACGAGGCCATTGGAATGTCACCCCGGGAAAGCCCTCACACAGCCCGAGGTGTGTTTTATTCATGTAGTCGGTCCAATCAAGCTGACAATCAGGATTGTCAGGCACACATACTTCACGAAGATATGAAGATGGAATAAGATGTACATAGATCCATCGGGCTGGTGCACTGGGAGCAGAAACGAAACTACAGCGAAGGACCCGAATCCGGTGGGGAAGAGACGCTGCACGTCCCTGCTCACGACACTGTCCACACAAGCCAACACAATAAAAACCTTCCTGATGAGGGGGAAGGACAGGGGATGCCCCAGCCCAGGCTCAGCCCACACCTCGGGCTGCTCTAGCGCCCAGGGCTGTCACTGCTAGACAATGGGACGCCAGACACAGCAGCTGTGGCACCGGGGTCAGCACCAAGAGGAGAAGGGTGCGGCTGATGACAAGTCTCCCTGCAGCGTCAGGGACGGGGGAGGCTCGGCCACGTCAGGACCGGGGGGCGGCAGGGGCGCAGCTCAGCCCCGCACAGGCCTCCGGGAGCCACACCGTCTGCGTCCAGCCGGGGCCGGTTCCCGCGGGCAGCACTCACCATGGCGCCCCCGTCCGCCTCCCTCAGCTGACAGGCCCGAGGCGCCCGGACTGCCCAGCTCAGCTAACGGATCAAGCGCTAAGATGGCGCGAGACAAAGGCCCGCGAACCAGCGGACCCCCCCGAAGGCCCGCCCCCGCGCCCGGGATGCGAGCCTGATTGGATCGCATCTCAGTCCCCACCCCCCTCGTGCCTTGAGTGACCGCAGAGAGCACCAATCCATGGCTGAGTAAGACAGACGGTCTGAATAGAGACAGCTGCGAGTGTTTTGTTTTGTATCTTGTTTTTCGAGACAAGGTAACCTGCGCTGACCTCGAACTCATAGCAGTCCTTCTGCCCCAGCTCCAAAGTGCTGAGATTGCAGGAGCTGACCACCGTGCTCCCTGAAGATAAAGCTGTCTGAAGATAAAGCTCACTCCAGGTGGATGACGAGGTTGGGGTTTAATCCTGTTCATCGATAGACACCAGACTCAGGGCACTATCTATCCTCTCAGGTGGGCGCCCCAGAAACCCGGATTCCAGACCAGTCGATGCCATCACAAGAGGCTTTATTTTAATCGTTTGCGCAAACGGACCCCCCTGCACAATTCAGTGAGAGGAGCCCCGAACAATAATTGCAGGCATCTTTTAAAGGCAAAAAACACAAAATTAACATAGCATTCGGGGCAATACATAATTGGCTAGTTTAAAGATCAGCACCGGGGAGGGGGTACAGCTATGGGGACTTCCCATGGGGGCTGCCTTTCTTCCTAGAATAGCCACCGGATGTTCTGCTAGACCCAGACAATGTCACAAGGTTATTCTGCTGATGCCACAAAAAATATGACAAGAATATTTCTGCTGAGGCTAACGGTTTGGGGACCCGGTTTGGGGGCCTGAGGCTGGTACTCGTTCCTCTTTCTCATGTTTAATTCTTTCATTCATAAAGTCATCTGAATGATGAATTCTATGTAGAAATATGTTATTCACAAATGTAAAGAAAGGCAATTATTTTTAAATTTCCAGTAACTTTTTCTTTTATCTTCGTTTCTTTGATTTTGGTCCCAGAGCTTTGAACAGAAAAGCTGACAGAAATCTAACAGAAGCCATCAGTTAAAGAGGATGTCGAGTACAAAAAAAAAAAATGTGAGGCACATTGTCATTTAAGAATTCCTGGCATTCACGTTTTTTTTTAAAAAAAAAAAAATCAGACTGCGTTGATGGTAATTGTAAGACCCCTCGTGGGCACCCAGTGGCCAGGCCCCGCCCCTGAGGACCTCCAACAGCTAAGCTCTGTCCAATGAACACTCTTAAAGACCTTAAGGACCAGAGGGCCAAGCACCTCCCTACAGAGTAAAAAGTTCAAGCTCAGGACTTGAAAGCCCACCAATCCCTGAGTTCACTCCAAGCTTGCCATCCCACCAATCCCCACCCTGGAAAGCTCCACCCCCCAGTAAACCCTATGTAAAACCCACCTCCCACTCACCCACCTGTATTTCTCCCAGTAAACCTTGTGTGAAGTTTATTGTGTGGTGTGATTTTTGTGGTATTCCTTGGCTCCCAGCTGCCAGGATACCTTTGCCCTCAGAGCTGTAACACTTACATTGGTGACTCGATAGACTCTCCTGGTGCCCATGCTCCCCCTCGGCTCTGAGCCACACTAGGACTCTCATCCCTCCAGTCCATCTACAACAGACTCACCTTCCGGCTCACTGATCGCTCGGCATCACATCCACCAATGGCAATTAATCAATTTCCCTTTTGGGAGGTGTAAATGCTTCTCTGAGTCGGGGGAAGTGACCATTGAGCGTTGGCACTCCTCTGGTACTCTTGGAGGTGGAGGTACCCCCAGCCAGGATCTTTAAGGCTATGGCCTCTTCACCTAACCCCATCCCTCCACCCTTCGAGCTGTAATCATATATATAAAACCTCATACTACTATATGAAACCCTATATAAAGCCCACCTCCCACTCAGTTCTTTGCGCTTCTCTCCTGAGCAGAGGCACCTGTGTTTTTCCCAATAAGTCTCTGTGTGAGGTTTGTTGTGCGGTATGACTTTGTGGTATTCCATAGTTCCCAACTGCCAGGATACCTTTTGCCTCAGAGCTGTAACACAGAAAGGACCAATTGATCGTAATATATTGTAATATCTCCAAAATAAAGTGCTATGGGCCGCAGGAATATATTATAAGAACTCAGCTGGTTATGGCAAAGCCACTACCTGAAGGGATCAAGGAATTCCTTCAGAGGAAGCCAAATTCCAGGGAGCTTTTGGTGTTATTTGGCTTGTTGTATATCAGCTGTTATCTGTTATGAAAATCATGTGTGCCTTCACAGCTTTCCCAGTTGATTTTTTCCTAAGAATTGCTAACAGTGTGGACTAATCACTATTTGGACATATACATTTGAGGTATTTGGATAACAATCTCAGGAAAGACTTCCTTCCCTCAGGTCCATCCGTTTCTTCTCCTTTTAGTGCTGGAATCAGATATCTCCCTTAACCACATTCAAGGGCTAACAGGAATAATAGTCCAAACCACCACATAATAAGTCTCCTGAATTAAGGTAAATTCCACATGGAGACACTGCCTAGGTCAGGTGGACCTTAAGTAATAGCTTTGCACAATTTAGCTCGGACCCTCCTTTTCTTACAGCCTTACTAACTTTATAGACCTCTAACTCCTTTAGGAATATTTAGATAACCTTCTGTGCTGACAGCTATGCACAGCCAGAACTCCAGTTCAAGCCTCCCTGTAATTATTGTCATTGGCAGCATCCGGCCAGGTCCATCCCCAGATGGAGGAAAGTACCTTATCAGAGATACCTCTGTACTCTCTAAAACAGATGTAAGCATCCAGACTATCTGTTTAAGGCCTGGCGGATGTGCTAATTAAGCTTAACTTTCTCCTTCCCAAAGTCTTATCTCTAGTTTTAGATCCACCCTTAACAATTAATTCAGAACTAAAGGGTTCCAACTTACAGGCACATCTAGCTGTGATGGAAGTTGTCTAGCCAAGTTGCCTAGTGACCAAGCACACTTGCCAGAAATGGCAGGAGCAGAGATAGCTTGGAGAGATAAGGGCCAAAGGGATACAAGGGCAGTTTTATTTTCAGAGAGCAACTAGACAGAGAAGAGAAAAGAGAATGGAAGAACTCGATGGGTAAGAACTGGAGAAGAACGTATTGAGATGGGGAAGAACTAGATTGAAGGGCTAGACGAGAGTACTAGAGGAACGAGATGGAAGATGAGGAAGAGCCAGATGGGGAAGAACAAGATGAGAAAGAAGGAGATGGGAGAGGAGCTAAGATGGGAAAGAACTAGATGGATGAGAACCTAGATGGGGTGGAACTAAGATGAAGGAATTAAGGTAGAACTTAGAGAGGACAGCAGATAAATGTAGTGAGAAATCAGGCAAGAAAGGAACTAGACATGAGAACAGAATAGAAGCTGTGTAGAGAGAGAACTGACTCAGAAGAATAAAGTGTATGGACTAAGGAGTTTCATGTATCTAGATTCATTTCTTTTCATCAAAGATTAATTATCAGCTGGTTGTAGATTCTTTCTGGACCCTGGGAGGGGACTCTCAAGGGGCTGGACCCCCACAGCCCCTGATAATAAAGTTTAGATAGCCTTGGCACTAAACCCTCAGAAAACACTCACATTTTAAATCTCTAGCACATCTTAGCTCTTGGCATGGTGACATTAAGGTCCTAGAATAGTGTGACATCTGCAAAAGAGTCTAACGGGCTAATCACCTGACTTAGAATCCTGTGATTGTGGAGAGTGGAGATTTTATAGGTCTAGTGCCAAGCTCTCTTGGACTGTCTTTAGTCTCTTGAGAGCCGGTCATTGGTCATTGTCTACTTCTGTGTTTTACTTTACGTTAACACAAGAGTTGGCTCCCTACTGGAAAGAAGGAAGGGCATTACTCCTGGTGGACCATGAGCTAGGGAGTTAGCTCTAAAATGATAAAGGTGACCATTAAAATCAGGATTGATCAAGGAAACATGGAAATTAAAGAATAAAACCGACCTTCAACTGAAGCAGATTACCTTTTGATCAAGGGTCTTCTCTCCATGGAAACAGGGACGATGTGCATGTGCCTCAGGAGGCTTGAGAGTTTTATGAGCAGGGGGAGTTCTGGGGGTAGAAGATCCTATCTGCCTGCTTGTTCTCCTGCAGCCTCAAAGCTATAATTACCCATGGAGGTTGGTATGGCCTTACCAGGAGCAGTGGATGTTCTTCTAGAGGGAGGATTCCTTAATTTATGATGCCACACTATCTTGGACTCACTTATCGAGAGCTTCCTGGATCCTAGCAGCCTGCAGATGTCATCAGTGTGTCAACACTCCTACCCTGAGTACCTTAATGCACCTTTAGGCTTTGGATCATTAGCCCTTTAATGCCCACGTCGTTCGACCACTCCCCTGCTGACCTCTCAGGTGGGGCTGAGGGGAGATGCATAGGGAAAACGAACTCCTCACCAGTTCAGCCTGCAATGCACTCAGAATGACCAGTTTCTGTAAAGACTACTTCAGTTCCCATCCAGTTCCTGACATAAGTCTCACTCCCTCCTAGAACTTGACCTAGCACCACCAGCACTCAGGAATCTTTTTCCCTTCTCCTTAAGAAGTCTGTGTTCCCTCTGCTCTCTCCTTGGCTACATTTACTTACTCCTCTAGGGTGTGAGACAATGAACCTAGAAGCCACTGGCCCAGGGTAACTTTGGTGACTTGATTGTTGGGTACTCTAGCACTCTGGACTGAGATTGCCCTGGATGGAGCCAAGGGTAACTTTGAGTTCCTGAGTCCCCTGTAAGAAAATTGAAGCAGAGACACAGACAGAGTCAATCTCAATGGCTGCTGGAGCCTGTCTGCCTCTGCCTCATTTTATACTTAACTCCAGAGTGAATTCCAGGTCAGTCTAGGCTCCTTAAGACTATGTCTCAAAAAATACAAGCAAGCAAAATCAAAATCCTTTTGTTATAATTTTACCATGTATAAAAGACTAATACTAGTGAAATGATGGGCTTGTTTGTATTCCACAATACAGTCCAAAGATATTCTAATTTGACTCATGCTGAAGAATGATGGTAGGACAATAATAAAAGTGTTTTCTGGCCAGGTGGTGGTGGTACATGCCTTTGATCCCAGCACTTGGAAGGCAGAGGCAGGCAGATCTCTGTGAGTTTAAGACCAGCCTGGTCAACAGAGTGAGTTCCAAGAAAGCCAGGGCTATACAGAGAGACCCTGTCTCAAAAAACAAACAAAAAATGTTTTCTGTTATTAAACTTCCATTATGTCTGTAAGAATGTAAAACTTTTTCCCTACAGTACAAACTGTTGTACCCAGAGTCCCCCAAAGACCACCAAGAGACCAAATCTGATGCAAAAGCAAAGAGCCTTTTTATTGTTGCGAGTTAACTCGGGTCTCTCCGTCCATCTGATGCAGCAGCAGAGCAGGAGAGACCCTGAGTAGCAATGAAGCAGGGTTTCTGTAATGGTTAGGGTAGGGGGTCTGGGGGAATTCCAACTCTATGTAGTTACAAGCTCAGGATTGGTACTTACTTCAGGTTAGAGATGCTTGGTTTGAACTGATTGGAGAGTTGCAGCTGCAAGGAAATTGCCATATCCTCTAGCAGTTTATGTCATCACAGACCAATTTTCTCTGACAGTAAGATGTCCCATTTCTTTCTTTCTTTCTTTCTTTCTTTCTTTCTTTCTTTCTTTCTTTCTTTCTTTCTTTCTTTCTTTCTTTCTTTCTTTTCTTCAAGACAGGGTTTCTCTGTGTAGTTTTGGTGCCTATCCTAGATCTCTCTCACTCTGTAGCCCAGGCTGGCCTCGAACTCACAGAGATCCACTGCCTCCCGAGTGCTGGGATTAAAGGCGTGTGCCACTACCGCCCAGCTACACCCCATTTCTTATCTGCAGGAAACTCGCTCCCTCTGACAGCTATGGTATACAATCTATAACAGCAGAAAACATCCCACAGGACATATCTGGTGCTTTGTTTATTACGCCAGCTATGTTATATCATATCCTTTAGGTTATGGCAGGAAATGTCTGGAACTTGTTTTGTGCAGCTCCTAATTGTCTGGGTCTAGGGGCAAAGGGGCAGCGTATCCTCTGGTGTTTTGTTTGTTTGTTTTAAGAACAGTTTGTCCAAGGGCCCCCTGCCCCCTGCCTGACCCTTCCCTAAGATGGCTGCAACCCTGTCATCCTCTCACAAACACTGCAATTCCCAACAGCTGATAGCCTCAGTTCCAGCCCCAAGTGTTTCAATGTCACTTGCAATGTCAGGTGATGGCTTGCTCAACGCAGAGTGACAGGTGAATCTTGCTCAATGCAGAGTGAATCTTATGACTGAAGCCATGGCTCAGAGATTCCAGAATGAGGGTATTAGTCTTCTCTTATCCAGTTGGGAAGGCATCTAGCCATCCCTTGAGAGTATCAACAAATATTTGAATCCCTTAAAGGAAGAGCTGCATGTTGTTTATTTACCAGTCATTGCCTGGTTACTGCCCATGAGGTTGGGATGGAGCCACGAAGGGAGGCGTCTGGACCCCCAGGATCATTCACAACATAGGAAATTTGATCAATGGTTTTACAAAGGCTTGTGCCACTGAACACTTGTTTGCAAGTTTAGTATAATCATGTAGTTCCGTAATGATTGGGGAGGGTGGAGGGGTGGAGGTGATCTGACTGGCAAATGTGCATGGGAGATCTGGCCCCACCCCTCATCTGCCATAAAGTGGAGTGGTCAAGGGAGTAAAGACCTCCCCTCTTCCCTACCCCTCTCTGCCTGTGGGTGGCAGATCTGGCCCTGAGGTCATGAGACTGAGAGAGCTGGCACTAGCCCTCACCAGCTGCAGCACTCAGGAGAGCTGGCCCTGCTCCTCACCAGGGCAGCACAGTAGAGCTGACCCTGTCAGCAGGGACACAGGTGAGCCGGCCCTGAGGGCATGAGAGCTGACCACCACCCATGTCTGCCATGTGGTGGCACGGGTGAGGGAAAGATGCCCTCCCCCTCCTCACCTGCAGCAGGTGGGAGAGCTGGCCCAGGGTCATAGAGTGGGAGAGCTAGCCCTGTTCCTCAGCAGCTACAGCACATAGGAGAGCAGGTTCTACACATCACCTGGCCGGCACAGTAGAGCTGACCCCTGTTGGCAGGGTCGCAGGTGAGCCGGCCCTGAGGGCATGAGAGCTGATCCCCCCCTCCTCCATATACCTCTTAGAGGAATCAGAAAGCAGACCATGCCTCACACCTGGGCTCACAGTGGAGCGGACACTGGTCCTGTGAGTGGGGTAGACTGGACCTGAGGGTCCCGAGAGCAAGAGAACTTGCTGTCAGCTAAATCGGGTGAGCTAGACTGGGCAGTGATGGAGAGCTCACCTGGGTGATGATGATGAAGGAAAGCTGGAAGGCTGACCAACTCAGCTGCCACCCAGGCCCAGAACCAGGGCTGAGTTGGCCCATCCCAACATCCACCTCATCTATGAACTGCTGGAGCAGGTGAAGGCGCAGGACCTATAGATCCAAAACTTCAGGATCTTCACGACACAGGGAAATAACAGGATAGCCAAGAAGAGCCCCAGTGGGAGTCTGTTACCAATGGTGTAGCAGAAGCCAGAGGCTTTGGATCAGACCAATGACTCATAGCAATGAACACCTACAAGTAAAGATGTATGGACTAAAGAGTACACTGTGGGACTCACTGGGCCACACAGCTTCCACACTGAGAATTTTGTTTGTTTGGTTAGTTGGTTGGTTTTCGGTTTTTCTTTTAAATTTGGTTTTGTTTTTGGGGAGAGGTTGAAAGGGCAGAGAGTGGCCTGGGAGATGAGTGGGATCTGGATGCATGATGTGAAATCCACAAAGAATTGATAAAAAGAAAAAAAAGGAAAAGGAAAAAAAAAACCCTCCTATGTTAAGTCTAACCGTGGACAATGTTTTCTCTGCCTTGGACCTGAGCTGGAGCTTAACAACTAATTGGTAATTCCAGTGTGGCAAGCTTTAACTCCCTGCCAGCGGTCCTTCAGTTATCCAGGGACGCTGTTCAGAGAGACTGCCACACGGCACAGGACCTTAGACAAACAGGAGTTCACCCGCTGGGGGACATGAAAGGTGGAGGAGGTTTATGGAACATTGGCCCTTGGCCGGCTAGCTACCTTCGATAGAATTTTTTATTTATTTTCTCACAGGACTGACCTCCAGGCCAGCTTACCGCAAACGGCATGGTCTTCCTCCCCACTTCTCTCCTCCATCCTTGTCCTCTCTAGGCTGCTGCTAGATTTACAACTTGTTGATCCTAGGGTTTTTCTTTAAGACTCACGTAAATTGTCCTTGAGCTTCCATTTGAGGACCCCCCCCTTTTTTTTTTTTTGGTTTTTCGAGACAAGGTTTCTCTGTGTAGTTTTGGTGCCTGTCCTGGCTCTCGCTCTGTAGACTAGACTGACCTCGAACTCACAGAGATCTGCCTGGCTCTGCCTCCCGAGTGCTGGAATTAAAGGCATGCACCACCGCCGACGGGTGAGCCCATTCTTTTTATCAATGAGACCAAGAACCCCAAGAGTGGATCTTGTTTCCTGGGTATCATATGGTGTCTCCTCCCTGACTCCCCAGGATGCCTAGTAACACTTTTTGTCCTGCTTTTTAATTCTTTACCAAGTGGGTAAATGAACTTTTCCCTGCATCCCCAGATGACATCAGAACTTCCTGCTGTGGACCTGTGGGCCCATGACCGCAGGTTCCTTGCTATGTATGGAGGCACAGCGAGGTTCCCATGGCAGGGAGAAAAGAGTTCAGACTCTCCGCCCTGCTCAGGGTCTTAGGAGCAAAGCTTCTGCTGGTGGGAACGGGGAGAGCCAAAGGGAATTTAGGTGCAAATAAACCCTCTTCCTGGTTCGGGCTCCAGGAAAAAAAAAAAGAAAGAAACTGGACATACAGATGTACTGACACACAAGCTCCAGCAGAGGGCGCCAAGAGCTAGAAATTCCGCTGTTTTTTGTCTCTTTTTTTTTTTTTTTTTTTTTTTTTTTTTTTTTTTCCAGAGCTGAGGACCGAACCCAGGGCCTTGCGCTTGCTAGGCAAGCGCTCTACCACTGAGCTAAATCCCCAACCCCTGTTTTTTAATTTTTATTAATTTTATCCAGAGAGGGTGGCGTGTGCCACTTTTCTTTTCACCTCATTTTTTTTCTTATTCTTTTCTTTTTCGTTGAAGCTAAATTCACAGCACAAGACAAACCACTTTGGCACTTAGGGCATTCCCACTGTATTCCAACTAGCTCCTATATCTAATTTGAATATATTTTCAGTGTCTTAAAATTCCACAACCATAAGCGATCCAGTAATTCCACACCCACTTTCATCCTCATCCCTCATCAAACCATTTAGCTGAATTCCTACTGGACGCCGCCTTTCATTGCCTTGGACTGAACCTTCACAGTTGAGGCAGGTGGCTGGATGTCACAAAGCCCTCAGGGTTCCAGCTAGAGCCTCTGGGCCAGGCATCATCCTGGTTGGCGTAGTGCACTCAGGCCTGGGCCAATAGCAAAAGAGGGTGCACTCTGAGTCTGCCTCCTGTGGGCCTGGGGGAAGCAGCTGCGAACCTACTGGAGTGTGGATGGTGGACTCCTGAAATCCCGGCGTTTGAGAGATGGTGTTAGGAGGATCAGGAAAAACTCTTTAAAAAAAAAAAAAACTTTAAATAAATGATAATAATAATGAATTTATTTTAACGGGTATATTAAAATTACACATAGTTATGGGGTACCTGTGATGTTTTGTTAATGTACACATGTGTAACATCTAAATCAGGGCAAACATCTGTCTCCTCAAACATCTATCATCTCTTTTTAAAAATTTTTTATTTTTACATACCAACCACGGATCCCTCTCTCATCCCTCCTCCCGCTCCCCACTTTCAACCTCCCCTCTCCTCAGCCCATCTCCCATCCCCTTTGCAAAAGGGTAAGGCCTACCATGGGGAGTCAGCAAAGCCTGATATGTTCATTTGAGGCAGGACCAAGCCCCTTCCCTCTGCATCAAGACTGAGCAAGGTGTCCCACCATAGGTAATAGGCTCCAGAAAGCCAGCTCATGCACCAGAGATAGATCCTGATCCCATTGCCAGGGACCCCTCAAACAGACCAAGCTACACAACTTTCTCCCGTATGCAGAGGGTCTAGTCAGGTTCCACAGCTGTCGGTCTAAAGTTCATGAGTTCCTATGAGCTTGGTTCAGTTGTCTCTGTAGATTTCCCCATCATGATCTTGACCCCCCTTTCTCATATAATCCCTCTTCCCTCTCTTCGACCAGACTCCTGGAGCTTGGCCTGGTGCTTGGCTGTGGATCTCTGCATCTGTTTCAGTCTGTTACTAGATGAAGGCTCTATGATGACAGGATATTCACCAATCTGATTACCAGGGTAGGCCAGTTCAGGCACCCTCTCCACTATTGCTAGTAATCTTATCTGGAGTCATCCTTGTGGATTCTTGGGAACTTCCCTAGCACCAGGTTTCTCCCTTACCCCATAATGTCCCCCTCTATCAAGATATCTCTTTCATTGCTCTCCCACTTCGCCCCTCTTTCAGCTCAACCATCCCATTCCCTCATGTTCTCTTTCCCCATCCTCTCCCCTCTAATGCCCTGCCCCCATACCCAGTTTACTCATGGAGATCTCATCTGTTTCCCCTTCCCAAGGTGATCCATCTCTTAGGGTCCTCCTTGTTTCCTAGCTTCCCTGGAGCTGTGAGTTGTCATCTGCTTATCCTTTGCTTTACATCTAGTATCCACATTTGTATTTCTGAGTCTGGGTTATCTCACTCAGGATGATATTTTCTAGTTCCATCCATTTGCCTGCAAATTTCACGAGGTCATTGTTTTTTACAGCTGAGTAATACTCCATTGTGTATATGCACCACATTTTCTTTATCCACTCTTCAGTTGAGGGGCATCTAGATTGTTTCCAGGTTCTGGCTATTATGAGTAATCTCAATGGCTGAAAGACATTTAAGGAATTGCTCAACATCCTTAGTCATCAGGGAAATGCAAATCAAAACGACTCTGAGATAACATCTTACACCTGTCAGAATGGCTAAGATCAAAAACACTAATGACAGTTTATGTTGGAGAGGATGTGGAGCAAGGGGAACACTCCTCCACTGTTGGTGGGAGTGCAAACATGTTCAGCCACTTTGGAAATCAGTATGGTGACTTCTCAGAAAATTGGGAATCAATCTACCTCAAGACCCAATGATACCACTCTTGGGCATATACCCAAGGGATGCTCAATCATACCACAAGGACACTTGCTCAACTATGTCATGTCTCTTTTTAAAATGAAAATTTATTTATTACAAATTATGTGTATGTGTGGGTGAGTGCTAGTATTCATAGAGGCCAAAGGTGTTGGATCCCCTGGAGCTGGAGTTACAGGCAGTTGTGAGCAACCCACCATGCATCTTAGGAACCTTCCTTGGATTGTCTGGAAGAGCAGCAAGTATTCTTAACCACTGAGCCATCTCTCCAGCCCTTATCCTACTGTTGCTACCTGTAACCAGTATAGATCCTCTGTGCATTAGCTGACCAGAGCTTTTTGCTACTATTTAACTCTTAACTCAGCATCCACTGTTCACCGTGTCTCCCCTCTTCTGTCTCTACTCTCAGCTTCTCTGAGATCAACATTTTAGCTTCCATGAATGAGTGGGATGGTGCTGTACTCATCTTTCTGTACCTAGCTCATTTTACTTAATATAATAATCTCCAGTTCTGTCCATATTGCTGCAAAAGGCAGACCTCACTCTTTTCTGTGGTTGAAGAGTTCCCCGCTGCCTATCCATTCATCCTTCCATGGAGTGGGTTTATTTAATTTTTCTCGGCTGTCAAGAATAGGGCTGTCAAGAATGTGGAGTGCACCTGTCATTTTTGCATACTGGTGTAATTTCCTTCGAGTATATAGTCAGTGGTGGGAAAGCTTCATATGGTAGTTTTATTTCCAGTTGTTTGAGGGATCTCAGCACTCCATCATGGCCGCTCAGGAGCTCGCTCTAGACTTGTAAAGTCTAAGTCCTCCTTCCTGACAAGTGAGAGGAGATTCAGCTGGCGCTGTTGCCTAGCTAGCACAATTCACGTTTTCGTGTGGTGCCCCCTCATGTTTACACATAAAATAACTTGTTTACCAGAGGGCGTGCCCCTAAGGAGGCATGCTGGGAAGGACTTGGGGCTGGACTTTCTCAGTAGCTCCGGGCCTAGAGCACCTAAGTGTCCCTCACCATCTGCTGAATTAAAGTGAGCACTGCTTTTTGCACAGAGCCGGGTGGCCCTGCCTGGCAGCTCTTTTCTTACCCAAAGCTTCCAGGAACACCAGACCTTTAAGTCAATAAGAAGGAAGAGTGGGACAAATTCAGCCTGGCCCAGTACCTCACTCAAGTGACAGGTGTAAGCATCCAGGACCTTACAGTGATGGGGGACAGGGAAGAGATGAGGAAGGATTTGGCCTGGATTTCTGGATAGGAGTCTCCGTAGTCAATGCCAGAATCAGGACACTTTCAATACCAAGATCACAACGTTCCTAAAAGCAGGGGAGCCGGTGTGGCTGCTCCGAAGGTCTCAATAACCAGAGAACTTTATCTGAATCCCCCAGTGCCTCCAACTGGCTGGGATCCCAGCACTGACAGTCTATGTCATCCCCTTGGGCTCCTGATGTCCCCAACCTGGCCCAGCTGCCACCCTCCTGCAGGCCACCCCCCCTTATCTCCATGCCTGCCCTTATCCCCTGTTACCAGTGCCCTTATCGTCTAGGCTCAGTACAGCTGGTCGTGCCCCTTAGGAAGACTTTTTTTTCCTCTGTTGCAACTTCCCTAAAGGTAAGAGCTGGTTATTTTCCAACGGCAGTAACGGGACTCAACAGAAGCTGGTGAGTTTGTCTATTCTTCGGTTTCTAGGCCCCCCCTCTCTCCTATCACCCCTGGGAGACAGGCAGGCTCATTTGGATTGTGCCCTGTCTGGAATTTTCAGGGAACCAAACCAATTCCCTCAGAGTCATCAGAAGCCGTCCTGGAAAGCAGGCAGCAGTCTCAGAAATAGGTGAGTGTTTTCTCCTTTAACGGCACTTTTCAGTGTTTTAGTTTGAATCTCTCCCCACACTCAATGGGCAGGAAGACTCCTAGGCTGTCCTAGTAGGCAAGAACCAAAACACACAAAAGCCCTTGCCGACACGACATACTACATGTGAAGGGCAGTCTAAGGCTGTACCAGGAAGGACCTCTTAGGGCTGGCTGTTCTGCTCCCCAAACTTATTCTCTAAACAGATTATACTAACTACCCTAAATGACTGAGTTTTGAGGGGTGACCCTCCCTGCCAAGGAGGAAGCTGTGTCCTCTAACCCCAGCTGGAGAAGTTCTTTCAAGGCAATGGGACAGTGGAGGGTGTTACAGGATCCTGATGACTGGAGAATTGCTTATTGGAGCTGGCTTTTCTCCATGTGCCTGCAAAGGGCAGGAGCTTGGCTAAAAACCAACCCAAGAGTGGGCGGTCAAGTGCAGCTCGCTCACACAGGGCCATCTGCAGACTTCTGAGGATGGAGTCTGTGGGAAACAACACGGTATCTGGGACTAAGAACTCATGTGGTGTGTGAATGAGCAGCTTTCTCTCTTAAGCTACTTTTCCTTTCTCCTTTTAGACTACTAGCCTCTCTTTCACCATGTCTGAGGTGTGTCTAATCCTATATGTCCCCATAGGGATGGCAAGGCCACACCGTGGAGATGCTACTCTGCCAAGCTTCTTGGTCACCTTCATTTTCCTGCAGCTCCTGCCTGCTGGAAACGGTAGGACAGCAGCCCCTTCCTGACCCTGGGGGTGCCCAGAGTCAAGCTGAGGTCTCCAACTAGGGCTCAGGACTAGGGGAACCCTCATGCCCTCAAAGAGGAAAGTAGGTACAGGGGGAGCCCCTGCCTCCTGCATGTGACCTAACCTAGCCCTTCCGTTTGCATCTCTAAGGAAAATCAGACTTCTGTGTCCTTGGACCTCCTGACCCACTTCTGGCCCTAGTTGGGCAAGACAAAGAGTTGCCTTGCAAACTGTCACCCAACATCAGTGCAGAGGGCATGGAGCTGAGGTGGTACAGGGACCAGCCCTCACCGGCTGTGCATGTGCACAAGGATGGGGAGGACGTGTATGAAGAGCAGATGGAGGACTACAGGGGGAGGACCACGTTCGTCGGCAACCACATGGTCAGAGGAGAGGTCGCTGTGAGGATACGCAATGTCACCATGTCCGATAACGGGACTTATCACTGCGTCTTCAAGGAGCACACATCCCACAGCCAGGCCACCCTGTGGTTGAAGGTGGCAGGTGAGGGCTGCTGTGGGGGCCTTTCCTTTCGCTTAGGGGACTTCTGTCAGCACCAGCCCCAATTCCAGACCGTGGCTTCCAGAGCCCCGCATCCTAGAGCTGGAGAAGCCCTGGCAACAGCTGCTTCAAGATGAAACTCTCTTCCCACAGGCTCTGTGCATCCTGTGTCCCCAGGATGTAGTTCTGAACAGAGGGCTGTTTCCCATCTGCCTTCCCTTCATCACACTACGAGAAAGAGAGCACAGAGTGGGGGCTTGGGGGGGGGGGGTGGGCGTTGAGGCATGGCAACAGCTGGGAGGTGGAAAGACAGAGCCTGAGATGGAGAGTCAGAGAGACAGGGAGACAGAGCGAGCAAGAGACAGATTGAGAAATAAAGTCAAAGAAAAACAGAGGGAAGGCAGGAACGCAGAGAGAAATAACGAAGAGACACAGGAAGAGAGACAGGGAGGGAGAGGCCAGAACAGATGGAGATGAAACAGAAAAACAGACTGAGATTATTTGGGGACATGGAGAAGTTTCCTTTGTTCTTTGTGGTCACACAGACCCCAACTCCTTCCTTTTCCCACACTTAGTGGGAAACTTTGTCTTTCCCATTAAACCTCCCCTGTGTCCTTGAACCTTGACTGTTTTATTAGGAATCACAGTGCTGTCTTAGTGATGTAACTGCACAGACGGCTGATACATAGAGAGTCAGAACCCACTAAACACCTGCAAGACGCCCGCCCCTCCATGGAAGCAACTGTAGTTACAGGATCTGAGCTGATGTCTCTTCCTTCAGGGCTGGGCTCATCACCCAGAATCCGTGTGACTGGCACCCAGGACAAAAGCATACGGGCAGAGTGCACCTCTGCAGGCTGGTTCCCAGAGCCTAAGGTGGAGTGGCTGGACCTCAGAGGACAGCCAGTGCCGGCTGAGACTCACTTCTCAGCCTCAGCCAGCACTGGCCTCTTGGCCGTGGTGTCCATTGTGACTCCCCAGGACAGGGCTGTGGAGGGCCTGACTTGCTCCATCTCCAACCCCCTCCTCCCTGAGAAGAAGGTGGCTGAGACTTACCTGCCTGGTGAGTACCTGTTCAGTTCTGCCATCAAAGCCGCTAGCACAGGCGTCCAGGTCCTGAGGGCCAGGGATGTTTGGAGAAAGCTGTGGGGGCAGAGCCAGGGAAGACCCTGCCTGCAGCCTGCCCAAGGGGGTCACGGGGATGTTGGTTTCCAAGATGAAACAGTGATAGAGTTGCAGGGAGATCTACCAGGGAAGCAAGAAAGTTACATCCTGATACTGGTTGTTGTTGTTGTTTTAATAAATGTTTTTTAAAGAGAAGTTTTAGTTCATGGCAAATTTAATCAAAAAGTACATAGATTATCTTTTCTTTTAAAAAACAGCTATTTCTCTTATTTTATGTGTATGAGTGTTTCACTGAGTGTGTGTAAGTGTACTGTGTGTGTGCAGTTTCCTTAAACTGGAGTTACAGATGATTGTGAGCCATCACGTGGGTGCTGGAAATGGGACCTGGGTCCTCTGGAAGGGCAGCCATGCTCTTAACCACTGAAATGTCTCCCCAGCCCCTGGATTTTCTACATAGTTCATCTCAAAGCCATAACTCTCCCAGGTATGAAAATCCAGAAGGGGGAACGTCACAGGGATGAACAGGCAGAGACCCACCAGGGTCAGCAAGAACGTGGGACTCTGTGGTACTGGCTGTTCTGGGATGTGGACATAGGAGAATGACGTCTGTCCACCTGTACTGCATGCTGCCTCCGAGTCCTCTACCCTCCCTAGTCACACCCTTTCTTCCCACTTACACCCAGAGACCCCTGGCCTTTCTTCTTCTTTGATTGGTTTTGCCTTTCCTCAGTGTTTCATAGTTGAAATCACACCAAATGCATGCTTCTCAGACTGGCTTCTTTCTGTTAGTGATGTGCATTTAAGAGTTTTCTGTGATTGTCCTTTGCCTGATATCTTAGTTACTGTTCTATTGCTGTGAGGAGACACCATGACCAAGACATCTTACAGAAAAAAAGCATTTAATTGTTTACCATTTCAGAGGGTGAGTCTTTTGTCAACATGGCAGGCACCATGGTGGCAGGCGGGCAGGCATGATGCTGGAGAAGTAGCTAAGAGCTCATATCTGATCCTGAAGTTGCAGGCTGAGAGGGAGACACTGGGCCTGGTGTGGGCTTTTGAAGACCTCAGCCCATCCCCAGCGACACACCTCCTCCAAAAAGGCCACATCTCTCAGTCCTTCCCGAACAGTTCCACTAACTAGGGACCAAGCATTCAAATGCAGGACCCTACTGGAGTCATTCTCTTTCACACTACCACACTTAATAAATCATTTATTTTGAGGGCTGAGTAACTATTCCACTGTCTGGTTAGAACAGTTAATTTATCTATTTATCTACTAAAGGATATGTTTAGCTTTTCATTTAAAGCTTTATTTCCTTACAAACTTGTTTTTTTTTTTTTTTTTTGACTTTTTGAAAAAGGATATCACTATGTAATCCCGGCTGGCCTGGAACTCACAATATAGGCCAAGCAGATCTTGAACTCATGGAGATTTGCCTGCCTCTGCCTCCTAAGTGCTAGAATTAAAGGCATTTGCTACCATGCCTGACAGAAGTTTTATTTCTAAACGATGTTAAACTTAGTTTAATTTTGCAAAATTATATGGTTTGCAAAAATAATAAGTCTCTGCACCACTTGCCCAGATTTACATTTTGAATATTTTGCTACATTTTAATTGACTTCGTTTTCTTTTTCTACAAATAGCATATCTAATATCTATATCTTACTCATATGGCCATGCATATGCAACCTCCTCAGTCCACTTTCCCTCAACTCATACCATACTTTGTCCTGGGCTCCTGGGCCATGGACAGGTGTGTGTTGTTAGCAGTCCCAGACAGACAATGGAAGCCCATGGTCAGGGAAGGCAGGTTCTGTGTCTGGTGAGGGCTGTTCCATAGTACAAAGATCTTCTTGCAGTGTCTCTGTGTGGGGGAAGGGCCAGGACCTCTCTGAGGTACTTTTTATAAGGGCATTGACCCTAGTAATGAGGCCCCACCCTCAGGACTTCCCCACCTCCCACAGCCCACCTGCACCATCATCTAAGAGGCTGAGATTTCAATGTTTTGGGGGACACCAACATGCAGGCTATAGCACTGTGTATCAGAAGACATCTCATTTTTTCTGAACCTTTTTTAGAAAGGTCTGTGAATATTGTGTCCCTTGAGTCTGGAATGGTGTGTGTGTGTGTGTGTGTGTGTGTGTGTGTGTGTGTGTGTGTGTGTGTGTAGCAAAGACAGTCCCTCCCGTTATTCTTGATGCCCTGGAATCCTCTTAGCTGCCCTGTTCAGAAGGCCTCCGTCCACGGAGAGGGGACCAGCTCTGCCTCTGATCCTCACGGCGCTGGGGCTTGTCACAGCAGCAATTGCCTGTGCCTTTGGGAGGTCACACAAAGAGGATAAAAGTGAGGAAGAAGAAGCGGATCCAGGAGCCGGTGCTGAGGCTGAGCCCTCCCACGGTGAGTGAGCCCTGACCCTCACACCAGGGACCTGGATGCCAAACTCTGGCCTGAGGCTTGTGTCATCCAACACAGCAGGAATGGAATAACCAGGGGGGATTTTGGCTCTGGAATTTCCCAACCACAACCCACCCAGAGGAAACCCTTCATCACTGAGAGATTCCTTGCTCGGTTATTCTTCACAAGATAACTTTGGGCAGTCTACAGGGCCTCTTTCTGGGAAATGAATAGACAGGAGCTGGAATCTTGGGCTTGTCATTTTTCCACTACTGAAACAAAATGCCTGAGGCTCGGTCATGTGTAAAGGAATGTTTATTTAGCTCACATTTGGGGGTCTAAAATGTCCAAGATCAGGTGGTCCAGGTGGTGAGGGCTCCTTGGCTGTGTCAAATTATGGTAGATAGCAAGACAGAATAAACAAAAGATTTGGGGATTAGGGTCAGATGGGAACCAGCCAGGGTCCCCAGAGAACTAAAAGATGTCCCCATGAGGTCATTACCTCAGAGGAGGCTCCACCTCTTAAAAGCTCCCCCACCTCCCACTGTTCACACTGAGGACCAGGCTTCTAACAAGCAAACCTTGAGGATACGTGCCAATCACATGCAACCCACAGAAAAGCCCGCATCTGGAGTACTGGCTGTGGGGTGTGGGTGGGAAATTTCAAGTCTTCTGTCTGCTGGAGGTGGTCTCTGTGTCTGTGGCAGTTTCTCTGTCTCTGTCTCTCCTACACAGAGCCTGAGCCTCTGAGCTGAGTTTAGTACACAGTGGGAGCCATCTCGGGCTGTGCTCACACCTCCTCAAGGATCCTGTATCCCTCCCTCTCTCGCTGCTTGGAGGAATAACAAAAAACAGTTTAAATGGGGACCATGGGGATGGTAACAGATTTCTAGAAGTGGAAGGGAAACCTTCATGTAGGAGACAAACCTTGGCTCCCTCATCCATGCAGGACCAAGACAGCAAAAGCCCCCATGTCTTTTTTCTCTCCACAGCCAGCCTGTCCCTGGACCCTGAAACTGGGAGCCCCAAACTCATGGTGTCTGAAGACCGGAAAAGTGTGAAGCGGTTGTTATTTGACCAGGACTTGTCTCCCAATTCCAAAAGATTTGACCAAGACCCTTGCATCCTGGCCCAAGAGCGGTTTGATACAGGGAGACATTACTGGGAAGTAGAGGTCGGGGACAGGCGGGCCTGGATTCTGGGTGTGTGTCTGGAAAGTTTGGGACGGGAAGGAAGGATCCCTAAGTCACCTCAGCATGGCCTCTGGGCACTGGAGTTTTACAAGAAGAAACTCCAGGCCCTCTCCTACCCCAGGACTCACCTGTCTCCTCCGCAACCCCTCTGGCGTGTGGGTATCTTCTTAGACTTTGAGGCAGGAGAAATCTCCTTTCACAATGCAGCGGACGGCTCCCAGGTCTATGTGTTCTCTGGGCTGTCTTTTTCTGGCCCCTTACTGCCATTCTTCTGCCTCTGGACCCATGACCCCAGGCCCCTAACCATCTGCTCAGTGGTCAGAGAGGCAGAAGAAGACACAGAATCCTCTGGAGGTCCTTGATCTCCCTGGGGATTCCCGAGACATCCTTAGGAAAGAGAGGCTCCTGCCTTCTTGTCCACCCTGGCTCCTGGTACTATTTATTGCATTCCTGTGTGGAAATATGGCAAGACAAAAGGGGCTAGATATGCTGCTGCCTCTGCCAAATTTCTGTGCTGAATGCTGACACCACACCCACCCCAGGATTTCTGAAGGTGTTGCAATTTGGAAATGAGGCATTGAAAGAGGGTAAGGTTAAAGAAAGACACTGATGTACTTTAACCCCATAAACCTGGTGTTCTTAAAAGAGGGGGAGATCAGGACACATACATACCCTGTGGGGACTCAGAGAGGTGCCACTCACTAGCTAAGGAGACCAGCAACGTCTCCGATGTCTAGCTTCTGGGACTTAGAAAGTGGTTCCTGCCGAGAACTCTCCTGTGCTGAGGTACTTTGTCATGGCTGGCCTCCCTCAGTGAGGAAGACTATACAATAAGCACAACAGGGCTGTGTTTCTGCTGTGTTCTTAGAGGCATGTGTGGAATGCCCAGCTCAGTGGTGGGTTGTGCTCTGGCTGCGCAATAACTGGGTCTTACCCTCCTCCTCCTCGCCCTTCCTCCATCTTGTTCATCTTTCTTTTTCCTTCCTCCCTGCCTTCCTCTCCCTCCTCCCCACCTTCTCCCTTCTCTTTCTTCCTGTTAAATGATTTTTATTTTTAATGATGTGTGTGTGTGTGTGTGTGTGTGTGTGTGTGTGTGTGTGTGCGCGCGTGCGCGCTGTGGGATGGTCTGTATGGCAAATGTGTTGCTGATTAGTCAATAAATAAATCACTGATTGGCCAGTGGCCAGGCAGGAAGTGTAGGCGGGACAAGGAGGAGAATAAAGCTGGGAAGTGGAAGGCTGAGTCAGAGAGACACTGCCAGCCGCCACGATGATAAACAGCATGTGAAGATGCCGGTAAGCCACGAGCCATGTGGCAAGGTATAGATTTATAGAAATGGATTAATTCAAGCTATAAGAACAGTTAGCAAGAAGCCTGCCACGGCCATACAGTTTGTAAGCAATATAAGTCTCTGTGTTTACTTGGTCGGGTCTGAGCTGCTGTGGGACTGGCGGGTGACAGAGATTTGTCCTGACTGTGGGCCAGGCAGGAAAACTCTAGCTACGTGTGTGTGTGTGTGTGTGTGTGTGTGTGTGTGTGTGTGTGTGTGTGTGTGTGTTTACCCTGGAACTGTAGTTATAGCGGTTGGGAGCTGACAGATGAGGAACAAAACTCAGGTTTTCTGCAAGAGCAGTGAGGGTTCTTGGTCCTAGAACCATCTCTCCAGCCCTTCCCCCTTCTCTCTCTTTTCTCACTCCTCCAGTCTATTTCTACCTTAAATCTCTCTCTCTCTCTTTCTTTCTTTCTCTCTCTCTCTCTCTCTCTCTCTCTCTCTCTCTCTCTCTCTCTCTCTCTCTCCCTCCCTCCCTCCCTCCCTCCCTCCCTCCCTCCCTCCCTCCCTCCCTCACTATGATAGACTAATTTCCAGCCACACAAAGGCAAAGATCTGAAGATTCCTAAGGCTTTGGTCAGAGTCCAGTGAGGACAGAAACTGCAACAGTGTTGACAGAGAACAGAAGCTGGTGTTGATGGACACTTGGGAACACAGGAGATAAAGCTAGACCATGGGAACCAGTTCTCCGCTACCTGAGGTTCTTCCACTCCGAGATATCCAGCAGAAGGGAGAACAGAGCCCAGGGACTGGGGTGCTACTCTGCTTGTTCCAAGGGTGCTGAGAAAATGCAGTCTGTCCAGTGCTCTGAGGCTGGAGGCCCCAAGAGAAACACAGAGTCACACTGTCCCCCAGACCCAAGCAGGGATCTGTTGGTGGGATCTATGTGGCATTCAGGATTCTACTCCAGGGAGACTGGGACTTAAGGTTAAGTGCTCTGGCCTAAAAGCCATGAAGGACTCTTCCCTTCTCTGGAGACCAGAAATTGAACTGAAGTGTTGGCAGGGTTGGCTTCTCTGGGAAGCCTTGGAAAATCTACTCCAGGCTTCCCTCCCAGTGTGTGGTGGCGTCCAGCCCTCCTCAGCGGCCAGAAGCATGCTCCCCCGTCACTGGCCAGAGCTGCACTGTGTTTCTCTTTGAAATCTTTCTCTTAGGCACACTTACCCATGGCAGAGCCCACTTTAACACAGGCTGACTCCACCCTGAGGCTTGTAACTTGATTGCATCTGCAAAGACCCCTTTCTCCAAATGATCCCAGTCACAGGTGTGTGGGGTTCGGACTCCCGCATATCTGGGGGGACACTCAACCTACCATACAGGCTGAGTGGTGGGCACACCCTTTTACATTGGAATGCCTCCTCAGGATGAGGAGATCATTGTCCATAAGGGCTGTCACAGTTATACATGTTTCAGAGAGACAAGGTCCTCAGACACAGCTAAAGAACGCCTCGTGTTTAGGGTTCACAGTCAAGAGCACAGCCATGGTTAGTCTGTGGAGTAGCAAGGAAATGTCACAAGCACAGGTGGCCCCTTAGCTGGGCTTTGGAGAGAGGCTGGCATTTATAACCCTCTGCCTCCCGAGTGCTGGGTTAAAGGCATGAGCCACCACTGCCCAGCTAGGTTTTTTCTTTTTTTTTAGGATTTATCTATGTATTTTATGTATATGGGTGTTTTATCTGAATATATGTCTGCACACCAGAAGGTGGTCCATGCCTTCAATCCCAGCACTTGGGAGCCAAAGGCAGGCAGATACCTGAGTTTGAGGCCAGCCTGGTCTACAGAGTGAGTTCCAGGACAGCCAGGGCTACACAGGGAAACCATGTCTCATTAAAAAAAAAAATTGTGTGTCTGTCTTCGTGTGTGTGTGTGCACTTGCAGAGGCTAGAATAGGGCACTGGGTACCTTGGAGCTGCAGTTAAGGCATTTGTGAACTGCCCCACATGGGTGCTGGAATCAGTACTCCTGTTCTTATGATGGAGTATCAGGTCCTCTTACTTGCTAAACCATCTCTCCAGTCTCAAGCTTTCTTGTTTGAAGGGTGCAACACGGTGAATGTTGGCTAAAGTTTACAATCAGGTAGCAGTGCCATCAAGTGATCAGAGTCTTTTGCTATTAAAATTCCTCTGGATATTTTAGAATTTGATTCCCACAGATGATTCTGCTGTAGGCAGCCACTGACCTGTGGAATGTTTGTTTTGATTCCCCCTCTCTCGTTCGTGGACTTAATTGAAGTCAGTCCATTTAAAGTGTGGAGCATTCCTGATACCGCTGAGAACTTTCCTTTTCTCTTGTCCTCTTGGGCACATCTATATGATGGACTTTTACCTGTTCTGGAATTTAAAATAAATGGAATCAAACTATCATGTTCTTGTCTTTTTTACTTCTGTGTTAGTTCATTTCCTGTTGTCACAACCAATCACCTGTAGCTGGGAAACGTAAAATGTTTCTTGGCTGACATTTTTGGAGAGCACATGGGAAGACAAACTGATGAACCTCAAGTGGCTGCCCCCCCTTTTCACCCTCCAGTCTACAGCTTCTTCTCTCCTCCTCTGTCTGGGTTTGTTGTTTTGTGTCAAGTTGTCAACTTGACACAGCTAGAGTTATTATGGGAAGAGGGACCCAGCTGAGGAACTGCTTCCATCAGATTGCCTGTCGGACTGTAGAGACTGTAGAGCAGTGGTTCTCAACCTAACGCTGCAACCCTTTAATGCAGTTCCTCACATTGTGGTGACCCCCAACCATAAGATTATTTTGTTGGTACTTCATAACTGTAATTTTGCTATGGTTATGAATTGTAAATATATCTGACATGTAGGATATGTGATAAGTGACCACAGAGGGGTCAAGACCCACATGTTGAGAACTGTTGCTGTAGAGGATTTTTATTGATGTATGTGGGAGGGCCCAGTGGGTGGTACCATGCCTGAGCAGGTGGTCCTGGGTGCCATAAGAAAGCAGGCTGAGAAATCTAGTAAGCAGTGTTCACTCATGCTTCAGTTCCTGCCTCCAGGTTTCTGCCCTAATTTCTCTTCCAGACGTAAGCTGAAATCTTTTCCTCCTCAAGTTGCTTTTGGTCATGATATTGCCACAGCTTTGTCAGACAGACAGAGAGGCCCGAGTTAACTCAAAACAATAAAAAGGCTCTTTGCTTTTGCATTGGATTTGGTCTCTTGGTGGTCTTTGGGGGACTCTGGGTACAACAATGATACTTTATCACAGGAACTGAAAATTAATACAGCCACTGAACAGGGAGGATGTTTTCAACTTTATGTTGATTTTTTATGAGACAGGATAACCAGGCCGGACTGGAACTCAGCTTCTGCCTCAGCCTCGGGAGTGCCAGTATTAGTTTAGGATTGAGCTTTGTGCTCACGATCTCCTGCCTGTTGTCCCTTGCTCCAATGTGGCTATCCACATTAGTGAGCAGGGTTCTTCTTTAGCCACTGATAATTCCTTTAGTGCACTGTCATGGAGACTCCCAGAAACAGTATGTTACCAAGTCACTAGCCATCACTTTGTTGAATCCTGCTGGGACATTAACCACCATAGCTGGTTCACCCAGGCTTCATGGAAAGGTAGGAGTCTATCTCTAAATGTCAGTGAACAAGCCCAGGGGATTCCCAAGGGGACCTTCCTCTGTGCTGTCACTGTGAAGTCATTCCCCATCCCACTCCCATATTCTCCCTTAATTACATTTTGTATGTGTGTGCGTGTGTGCATGTGTGTGTGCTAAATCGAATGCATATGCACTGTGGCACGCGTGAAGGTCAGAGGACAAGTTGTGGGAATGGGTTCTCTCCTTCCACAATGTGGGTTCCCAGGACTGAACTCACTCAAGTAGTCAGGCTTGGTGGCAAGTGATTTTACCTGCTGAGCTTTCTCAACAACCTCCATCCAATTCTCCCATTAAAATGCCCAGTGACTTCTGTACACATGTAGGTAGAGTTCAGGTCCCCCAAGTCTTTCCCTACTGGGACGTCACCTTAAAACTTGTACTTACCCTTGACTGTCTGGTTTCACCACTGACAAAGGAAAACAGGAACTGAGCACCACTTAGCCCACATTTTAGGGGTCACTCATTTTAAGACTCTTCTGACCACTCACCCCCCTACATGCTTATGGTGTCTTTTTCATGTCCCCCTTCATGTCTCGATGATTTATTGGCATGGGCGGCAGCCATGTGAGGAAGACTCTAGTGGATTTTCTCATTCTCGGGAGAACCATGAGTAAAACCATTGTGCCCATGGTAAGCTAGGGAAAGCATGTGTTTAAAGACCCAAGGATGGGCTGTCAAGACGTTGTGGTGGGTAAAGGTGCATGCCACCAAGCCTGATGACCTAAGTTCAGTCTCTGGGACCCAAGTCAGGGACGGAGAGGACTCAATCCCAAGAGTTTTCCTCTAACCTCCACATGCTTGCCCATGGTGCCTGCACCAAAAATAAAAAATGTAATAAAAAATGAAAGATGTCTTGGTTGTTGGTGTGATCTCCAGAATGACTCACCTAGCCAAGCTTCATAAACTTCTCTGTTAATGAAAAGTCTGATGGGAAGAGGAATACCATTCAAAGTTATTGTGGCTATTGCTAAAATATAAGCACATTTTGGTCATTTTTGTTCATATATGTCTATACTCATCATCCAGGCTCTATTTTTTTCTGTTGTCACCAATTCATTGAGCTATTTGTGCACCATGTGCATGTAGTGCTCACAGAGGCCAGAAGAGGGTGCTGGATCCCAAGGAGCTGGAGTTACAGACTTGTGAAGCCCTATGTGAGTGTCACAAACCAAAACCCTGGTCCTCTGAAGAGCAGCCAGTGAGTGCTCTTAACGCTTAACTCTTAACTCTTCAGTGACTGGCTATGATCCACATTTATCAGTAAAATAACCAACCAAAGTTAAAATAGTCTCAAAAATAATGGCCACAGTCTATATGGAAATATTGAGATTTCTGTAATATTTCTAAGAACTTTGGGGGTGGGGAGTGAAAAACGGCAGGCTGTTTGCTTCAGTCTCTCTCACAATCTTCGTGAAATTTTGCAAATGGATGGAAATGGGCTACAACTCAGATACCTTCATCAAGAGTAAGTATCAGTATTAGTTCGCAGAGCAAAATGTCCACCATGTTTTGTTTTTTCCTAATGTAGATGTAAATGAAATAGCAATGGAATCATGGTAGTATGAGTTTCCCCAAGGAGGACACCAGATTGAAGAGGCGGTGTTTAGCCAAGCACTTGTGGGGCCTCCATGTTTACCTTTGCTCTTGGTGGAAGCTGGACAGTTAACCTAGGACTTAAATCAGGGAACCCCGCCCTGCTGGGATTGGCCTGCCTTGGCCCACATGATGAACTGTCATGGCGCTTTCAGGCCCTGTTGGTTATTTTGGGGTCAGGCAACTTGGGCTCTGCTCAAGCAGTGTGGTCATGGCCCACCACATTGTATATCCATAGGTAA